ACAATAAGCGTTCGTGATTACCCAACTAAGATCTTTCGTTATTTCGCCGCTACCCAAAAAAAATGAAAATAAATGAATATAATGAGGGTGTTAAGATACCCTAAATATAATACGTGTTAAAAACTCAATGATTATGATACTTTGCAACGACATAATTTTTTTTTTGGTTTTGTATACGTAGTATAGCCAATACATAAATGTTTCGCAAGTAAAAATTAAATGAAACTAAGATAAAAACTTTGAATCAGTCTACAATCTCCACATCTATGCTACACTACTGCACGTCTGGAACTGAGCATGGAACTTACTCTTGCCAGAAAAAATAAGATGATCAACTATCTTTTTCTATCATGCCATAACCTAACAACTCTCTCCTAAATATATATTGTTAAGCATGTCTCAGATATATTTGTATTAGAATACAAAATTTTTTTTATTTTTAAATCAATATAAAAGTCATTCAAGATCAGGCAGCCGATCTTGAATCTAATCTCAAATTTGTAACAGGTTGGGACTCACAGTGGCTTGTAAATTTTAACTCCGACTAAACTAAAATTTTTACTGCAAACAAGTATTGCAATACTGTCAACATTCTTATATTAATGAATGGCAACCCACTAACTGTGTCGTTTTTTATACGTCTTCTTGGGTTATTGTTCACTACTGACCTTTCATGGAAACCATATATAGAATTAATTGCTAAATTAGCTTCTGCTAAGTTTGCTTTTCTTCACCGTGCTTACAATTTTCCTATTCCTGATGACATTCTGTACCTCTACAAACCTTTATTTGTTTAGTTTTTTTCCCCGCACTTCATCTCTTTGGAATCTTCTCCCATCTTCATGTTTTCCTGTCTCATGCAATCTACAACTTTTCAAGTCTTCTGTTGTTTTTATCCTCAAGTTTGACTTTAAATAAATGCTTTAAGTTTTTTGAATCTAGTATGTTTATAATAAACATTCTGTCAATAAAAAATTACTGCTATAGAATGCCGTGCACTGGCCGTCCGTTTGGCATAAAAATAGCTGAGTAAATCACAACTAAATTCGGTAAAATTTCTCTTTATTTGATATGCTTATCAGTGTAGTACTTTATTTATTAGTTTCTATTTATTAGTTTTTTTCAATAACTTTATTTTATCAAATCCATATATGGGGGCTCTATGAAAAGATTATGATTATGTATTGTCATTTGTTCTTTTCATCTTCTTTGAGCTCTTGAGTTTTAGAGCTGTACCCCCACTTTCATCTTCTGTTTAACTCTTTAAATTTAATAAAGAGCATTTTTTCTTTATTGCATATATCTTTATTTTTAGTAATTAAACTCTCAATAATTTTTACTAGTTAACCTTTACTAACTATCTTGATTTTTACTAATTAAGCAACTCAAAAACGCAGTGCTTAGAGCTCTGGATTTAAACTAAGAGGTCCGAGGTTCGACGCCAGCTCTAGCCCAATAAGCGACATTGGTAAGGAAGCTTAAACTTCCAAGTTAGATGCTCTTCTGTAGTGCTCTGTGATAAGACCTTAAGGACTTCTAGGAGCACTTTAACAGCAACAAAAAAAATGTTTGCCCCTCTCCCTCTCCTTAAAAATATTCTGCGGGTGCCGATGGAAGTTTCCTGCCTTCCAAGAGCGCCCACAAAAAGTTTTTTATCCTCTAACTTGTAGAAGATAAAAAAAATCTTGTATGTGATAAAGTTTTTCTAGCCAAAGAGCTATAAAGTATTTTAGAGTATAGAAAAATTTAGATTGAAAGAAATAAAATCACTGTTTGTTGATGGTAAAAAAAATAAAATTTTAATTCTTACGCATGATAAGACCACAGGAAACTTCAGAAAAAAATTATTAAATTATCCATGTTAAAACACGTGAAAATCACGCAATGCTAAACTAATAAGCAGCTCTAGCTTGCTTTGTAAGCAAAAGATCAAGGGCTTGTTGTTAGCTCTCGGCATGTTTTCGCGTCATCATTAAGGAAAGGGGCGTGAACCTCTTAATTAAGTACTCATTCGCGGTGCTCCGTGACATCGTTAGTTCTTCTTGGGGCACCTATAATAGATTAAAAAAAAAATGAAAAATAGAAGCTTGCTTTTTGATTTGCTTTTGCGAGGTGATTTTTATTGAAATTCATACAGTGCTATTTTAAATTTTGCTGTATTTAAATAGTCAGGGAGGGAAAACTTTAACAAATTTCAAGCAAATGTAAACATAATTGTTTAAATTTGCGAGAAGATGAAAATAATAAAAATATTTTTAGTTTAAATTTAGCGCACCGCATTAGTATTGATAAAATTTCTTCAAGCACGATATAGAAAAAGAAAAGTTAAAAATGAGATCATGATTTATGATTTCATGATTTATGCTGAGTATACTATATATCATACAATAACATCTTTAGTAAATTTTAATGAACATGTAAAATGTTCACTGAAATTTATGAATCTAAGTGTTCAGTTTCTTTAATCTTTAATTGAGAAATTTGTGAATGTAAATTTAATTCTGTGTATGTAATGTATGTTCTAAATGTAATGTATGTTTTAATTCTGTTAATGAATTAACGAATGTAAGTTCTGTATGAATGTAAGTTTTAATTCTGTTTCTATTATCTTGAACTGCGCAAAAAAAAATTACTCATTAATAAAGTAATACAACTTCAAATTTAGAGTAAAAACAAGTTACACCAACTTCAATGACATTATTTTGATGGATGGAAAGATAAAACTCTTGTTGTTGAAAAACTTGTTAAAAAACGAGTTCAAAACGGTTTGTAAGAACAATAAAAAGCAGGCATTACTTTTAACAGAAACATGAACAACTTACAGATTTTCTGTAAGTTGTTAGTTTCATTCTCTTTTAGGTCAACTAAAAGCATTATAAGCAGCATTATTTCATTTTTAAATTGGATTTTCATTGTATGAACCGGAGATAATTCGATGTGATGACATTGTAACTTACACCGTGGTGAAAAACTGTTTGAAAAACATGTTAAAAGTCTGCACTTTGCCTCTTGCACTTTAACTAACTGCCACTCAGACTTTTGTTTGAAACTTTAAATAGAGAAGCAACTGGATCAAAATCATTTAGTGGTCCAATCTTTTCTAACTATAAGAAGTCTTCTTTAGAACAGAGCCTCTTCTAATTAAGAAGGTTCTGTTACATGCTGTGATCACAAACTCAAGACAGGTCTTTAAAGAACGATTGATGGCACCCAGAAACTGAGAGATGCTTTTAGTAAAGCCAGCTCACTGACTATCCCAGCTAGCACACATACATTGGGCCAACCATTTATGTAGAACAATTGCGTACGTCGGCTGTTTTTCTCGATGCAAATTCAGCGTTGATCCAATGTCATTTTTTAAAAAATAATATAGGTAAAAGGTCGCAACGCACCAACGCAACTAAAAACAGCTTGCACAAATTGGGCCAACGTATGTATAACCACCGAAAAACTTGTTTGTTTTTACGATCTAAATCCAACGTTATTTCAATGTATATGGGTTTAGGTTGACCCAATGTATATAACCAATATTGATTCAATATATATGAATCAACGTTGATACAATGTATAGAACCTAACGTTGTGAGTGCAAAATTATATATTTTAAATAAAATCTTCCGTAAATATTAAAATATCAAACCGCAAGTAAAACAAACATCATTAATAATTGTAAATTTGATTGATGAATTTAACTTTAAAGTCCCTTTATAGCTTTTGTCATTTCTAACTTTTTCATAGTTCCTAGATTTTGTAACCATTACATTTTTAACCAAAATGATATAAAAACAACATGGTCGACCGATGTTGTGCCAACGTAGCCTGAAACATTGTTCGAATGTTGTACCAACGTATGTGTGCTAGTTGGGTACCAGGCTTCATAAATTTATTCACCAGACACAAAAGGTGATGATTGAAAGAAATCCGTATCTACAAATGAGGAGTCCCTACTCTTTGAAGCTATTATTCCATTACAAAAATCACTGCAAGAATTATCAGTTTTTTTAATTGTAAAACATTGTTTATTCAATTTGACATGTCAAAAAAAAAACAGTTTACTCAGGCAAGCAACCAATCAGTAGAATCATTCAACTGAACTGCTTATCTTTTCAGGTGTTTCAAGATCCTGGTTGACAACTCCACCAAACTCTTCTGATAAGACATTTTCTGCTTCAAGTCTTGCAATAACTGATCTTAGATATAACCTTGATAGTGACAAGGCAGTTAAACTTGTTTTTATAATTCAGAACTATTCCGCAATTAATAACAATGTCAAAAAGTGGTCCTTGAAACTAGAGAGTGAAATCTAAAGTGATATTAAACATAAGCTATGCCTATCATTGCCAACATTAACACAAGAAACTTCATAAATACCAAAAACAATACAACAAAGGAAAAATTAACAGTAGAAGATTTTTTAAAAAATTTTCTAGATGGTTAAAAAATGTTAACTAGTAAAATAAGACCATTTTTACTAATGGTATAGACATTTATTAGCGATACCAAATAATACGAGACTACCTCTCTAGATATCAACATACACAACATTGATTATCTTATTTCTCAATATTACTATGTCATTATAACCACGCGATTTTCTACGTGCTGCTTGTTCTTCGTTAATCTTGATCTTGGTTATTTTTTAATTAGATATACTAGAGATGAGTTTCTCTTCCAAAAATTCATCAAGTATTTTAATTGGAAACACAAGGTTTGATGCGCTATCATTTTAGCATGACCTTGGTAAGTCCAACATTAACAAAATGTTTGTTAAATTTTTGACATATTTATTTCATTTGAAAAAACTTTTTTATTTAACAGTTTTTTGTTTTTTTTTTAAGTAATTTTATCAAATTAGTCATTCATGGTTTTTGATTTCTTTTTTTTTTACATTTTTAAAAATATTTTTGGGCAGATATTATCAAAAATATTTTAGAAAGTTTTTTTTTTTTTTGAAAACTTTTTCTAATGTGTATTGATTTAATTTAAAAAGGATTTTAACATTTTCTAAAGAAATTTTTATTTTCAATTAACTGATTATGAATTTTTATTCATTTTCGGCGGTGGAAATGCACGCACCATCTCTTTAAATTCAGAAAAGTATACTCGTCTGTTTCTCTCCAATCTAAAAATAACGAATTATTTTTAATATTTTATAATTTTATTTGTAAATTTGATTAAATTAAAAATATCATGTACTTGACATAAACATTTTAAAACATATACCTATGATATTTTAAAACATATACCTATGATATTTTAAAACATATACCTATGATATTTTAAAACATATACCTATGATATTTTAAAACATATACCTATGATATTTTAAAACATATACCTATGATATTTTAAAACATATACCTATGATATTTTAAAATCTCATTTATAGCTCCCGGTGGGGCTTTTTCCATAACAAAAATTAATGCTTCCTTTATGTCATTGGACGCGATAAATCCTTCACCCATAAAATCGAATGCATTAAAACAATCTCGAGCTAAATTGCATAAACAGCTCGAATGATGTTATATGTCGTTGTTTAAAGTAAATAATGTTCATTTTATTTGAATTGGTGAAAAGAAGAACATTACTAGTTCAATATTTTCATTTCGAGATGTTTAAGTATTGTTCTTCGACTAGTTTAAATCTTATGGCAAAAAGTAATGAAAGAAAAATGGACTAATATTATTTTTGTATTACATTGAGAAATCGACATAAGTTAAATGAAATTATGAAAAAAACGTGCAAATAACAAAAAATGGACTAATACTGTTCTTCTTCTCACCAATTCATTTCTTAATAAATTTAATATTATATATATATATATATATATATATATATATATATATATATATATATATATATATATATATATATATATATATATATATATATATATATATATATATATATATATATATATATATATATATATATATATATATATATAGGTAGATAGATAGATAGTAAATCTTATCAGATATAACTATATGTTTTTATTATATGAACAGCAAATATATATAATTCAAAAAAATATATATTTCTGATGAGCAATTTTATTTTAAGTATAAATATCAATCAACTTAAAATTTACCTTCTTTTTCATTTTTTTCTTCCGTTTCTAATCTATCAATAATCTCTATGAACTCTTTGAAATCAATGCGTCCATTGCCATTATCAACAAGAATTGATGTATTTTCTAATAAAACATCAGTTGGATTATAGCCTATTGTTTTTAACATCTCTCGTAACCCTGTAACTGGCACAGATCCGTTTCCATCTTTGTCAAAAGCCTCAAAAGCATCCTTTAAATCCCGACTTAAATCAGCTGGAAATCGGTTCATTGTAGACACAAATTTTAATTCTGCAAGCAATCATTTTACTTTCTAGTCAGACTTTTACTGTTTACTTCTACTGTAATCTTTTTTTTCATTATTAATGTTAATTCAATATCCTATTTAACTTTTTTAATTCAGCTAACTATTCATTTTTTGGTTTATTTTTAGATAAATAATTCATTACTACAGCAATGGCCAGTCTCTCAAAATATAAACTATTTGAAACTAAGCATATTACTTCCATATAGTTATAAATCGATTTCTTTAGAAACTTCTAGAAAGAAACATTAAGAATACTAATAGTATGTAATTAAAAAAAAATCTTTGAAAAGTAAAGAAGTTTCCTTAATTGTAAAGAAATATGTTTTCTGTGAAACTAATGCATCTTTAAAACTAATAAATACAAAGGATAAAGAAATCTGAAATAAATAAAAACCTTTATAGGTTGCTATGCATAAGAAAAAGCGGATATTAGATGGCTTCATTATTGCATAAATCTATAAAATTACGCCTTTGCAAATATTTAAGTTTAACTTATCAAAAGTGAATAAATTGCATTGGCAAATTTGTTTGCAAATTTTGTACCTGAGCTAGCCGTAAAAAATACTTCAAATTTTTCATTATGTTTTATTTATTTATATTATTCTACTAGCTTTTTCATAAGCAATTGCATGAGTGAGACATTTATATCAAACTTTTTTTAAAAATAGAGATAATGATGAGGTTGCGTGTTTAATTCCCCTCTTTACAATTACTTTAGAAATATCATTGAGCCCTTAACACAAACTTTTACATTCATCTTTAAAAAAAAACAGTTTTAAAGTTACTTTTTCAATTTTATGTTTATGATAAACTCTTAAATGAAGAAAACTTTGTTTCTTGTTTAGCTAATTTTTTACTTAGATAATTTCTGTTGTGTTTTCACAGAAATTTTTTTTACCTACAGAACTAAAAAATTGAGAAAACCAAAACAACAAGAAAGATCCATAAGAATACCTGCTTAATCAACATATGCAAGTTTATAGCTTAGTAATAGTGGCTCAATCTATTTGACTTCGATTATGTTGTCATGTCTAGTGGTGTATGTCGTGATATTCACTAATTTATGTCGTGGAATCCATTGGTTTATGTCGTGGTACCCACTGGTTTATATTAATGTATCTACTGGTTTATGTCGTGGAGACAGATGTGTTTAATTTAGTTGTTTCATGATTATTACAGTTCACATGGTAAGTTAACATGTATTTACTTGACTCAAACATGCTTTAATTACCATTGGTGAGCTATAACAAGATGTTTGTAATACAGAGTTTCTTTTTTGGTTCTACTTACGAATAGGAACTTTTAACAAAACTTCCAGTCCAGATGCCCAAATATTGTTAAAGAATACTGATTAAAATGATTTCAACATTAGCAGTATGTTCAACAATTTTCCTCACTACAATGTTTTACTTTATAGATACAAACACATAAAAATATTTCAGAACCTATACAAAATTAAGCAACATATTTACTCAATATTGTCATTATAAAATTAACTATTAGTCAAAGTAAAAGAACTGCTTTCATGGATATTATACATGGATATTTCACATATCATTTTAATATGTTGTTCCTTAATTTCAATATCAATTAATGAAAATGCTATAATGAAAATAAAAAAATAAAAAAATAAGTAACTTAAGAAATTAGACAAACTACTTATTAGAAATGTTAAAGAATTTGTATGATATTTTTTAAATTAGATGAAGTTAACAGAAAAAATATATTAAAATTAATTTAATTAAAATCAATCAATTATAAATAAAGCAATTATAATCAATTTTTGTTTTATTTATAATATATTTCCATAAATCCATAATCCCGCACAAGTTCTAACAATTTTAGATCATCTTGTTTAAAATAATCTAGGGAGCTGCTGGTTTCAGCAAAAGAAACTAGGGAGCTGCTGGTTTCAAAAGAATCTAGGGAGCTGCTGGTTTCAGCAAAAGAAACTAGGAAGCTGCTGGTTTCAAAATAATCTAGGGAGCTGCTGGTTTCAAAAGAATCTTGGGAGCTGCTGGTTTCAGCAAATGAATCTAGGGAGCTGCTAGTTTCAGAATCTTGTGAGCTGCTGGTTTTAAAAGAATCTAGGGGGGGGGGGGAATAGCTGCTAGTTTCAGCAAATGAATATGAATAACAAAGAAAAGCTTGCTCAGTTCCTAAACTATTCCAGAAGTTTAACATATTTTGGCTACTATCACCACCTAGTTGACACTAATAGCGAAAGATTTTGAGCATATGAAATTTAGCTTTCCGTCAGTATCCAGTATCCAGCTTGCATCACAAAGAAGTTGAACAAACTTGTAGATGCTCATAAAAAATATTTAAAGAGAAAATCTACTGTAGATTTTCTAGTAGCGTTTGATATCCTCGACAAAAATAATAAATCGAAACGGAAAAAATGATCTTTTATGATCATCAAATCACTAATAGAAAGAGCTGTATATCGACCAGCCAACAGTTGTTGAGCATCATGCTAACAGGCAGTTGATAAAAAATATGAATCTTGATTATGTAAAGCAATTATATACTGGGTGAAGCTTTCAAAATGACAAAGACGCTAACAATTTTCAGATGTTGATGGAACTACCCAAAAGAAAGCTTAAATTAAAAGTAATTAATAGTTCTTTTCAAAATAAAAATAAAAAGTTTTTTTTATTATTTACAAAAAAAAAACACCTATTGACACCTGCTCTGTCAATACAGGATTAAAAAGTCCACGATTAAGAAGAATCATACAATGTTCTGCATAAAATGTCTTATCCTCCTCCAACTTTGAAAATCTGGAGAGATGATTATAAACTATTGACTGGGTTTATTTCTTTTAATTGTTTTAATAGTTACAAACTGCCAAGTTCTCACTTACAGAAGTTAAGCAACAGCGCAATTTGCGTCTTACTAAAATACTTTCTAATCTCTGAAGAAAGATCGACAGAAATAGCAAAGTTTATTAGCTGTTCCTAGTCGTGTGACCAGGAACAGGATCAGCATGGTTTAATATGAGAGGGGAGGAAAAGGAAAGGAAGGGAGGAAACCAATTGAACAAATCTGAAAAAAACCACTTAAGAATTGTTTCTTCCAGAATTTGTTTAAAAATTCCTTTTTGTTCTTTTGCATTTCAGCACTCTATTGTAGATTTCAAAGTTTGTTCAACTTCGGAGGGAATTTCACATTTAGAAAGTGCTATTTTTATCTTCTTTTTTTTATTTTGAATTAAATTTTGAAAATTTAGCATCCAAAAATGGCATACGTCCTGGATATCACCAACAAACGAATGTTTAAATAAGGGCTGTTTTAGTTGTGAAAAAAAATTTCTGAAATTGTTTTATTATTGAGAAGACGAAGAAACAAGTTTAATTTATTTTGTTGAATACTTTTTGAAACTTCCTGCATTTTAAATAGCGAATTTGTATAGTTCTTACTGTGTTTTGAAACATTTAAAAGCAATTTTAGTGCACTCCTACCAATTACATCTAGCTTTTTCATCAAAGCAGAATTATTTTCACATAACTCCATACCTTAAGTTAAGGTAGTTAAGGTAGGGATTGCCAATAACTTATATATATAGGAAATTGGGCTAACCGGATTCCAGATTAAATAAGAGTTTGAACAACAGCTCTAAAGTTTGAGATTTTTTCATCAATATTTGTATTATTGAGTAAAGCAAAAGTTGAATGCTTAGTATCCTATGTAAATCCCAGATGTCTAAGTTTATTCTGAAGATTTATTTTATTACTTGAAATCGTTATCTTATTGGTTTATATTTGTGCTTTACCTGAAATCAAGAATTCAGTTTTTTCGGCATTTATTTTAATACAATTTAAATTATTGTAAATATTGCATGTTTTTATCAGCTTTTTGAGACCAGAGAGGGTAGAGCTTAAAGATATGATACCATCCACATATGCCGCATATAATGGTAAATTGTTTAAGTATTTTTATAAATTTTATTATTTTTTTATACGCTTTATATATTATTTAGAAAATACCCTGTTAGTACAATTCAATTTAATGGTCAAAAGGTTAACCAAATTTTTGGTATAATAGAAAAAAAGTGTATGTTTATTTTATACATTGTATATAAGTTGAATTTATTTTCAATATATTTCACAACTACATCCTACATTATGCTTTATTTGATTTTTAGAAGTTGTTAAAAGTAGATTTGAAAATGTTTCAAATACTGTAAATAAACATTAAATTGGATGAATTAGTGAAAATGCTCCTTCGCGGAAAAAATACATATTACTATGTTGTATAAATTGTTATATAGTAAGAAATTTTTAAAAAACCAACTAACTGTCTTTTATGTGCTTTTTAAACTTTTTTAATTTAGTGTTTCTATAAAATAGATCATGAATTTGCTAACAGTATTTTAAATGTTTTTATTACCTAATTGGTAGTAGTCACTATCTAGTCGGTAGTTGTCACTATCTAATTGGAGGTGACAACTTGAATATATTCTCTAAATTGATAATAAACAACTTTCTTAGATAATAATTTATAAATCTTTAAACTGTCTTCAGTACGACGTTTTTAAACAGTTTTGTGTAATACGTCTTTTCGACGGACAATGGTGACATTTTAAGAATAGATTATCTAGATCTAGTTTTTAAGACGACTAAAAAAGCCGTCTTGAATAAAGCGTTTATTTACGCCTTCATGTTTAAGACGCTTTTAAGCTGCGCAGAGTTAGACATCTTTAACAGCCTTGAAAACGTTATTTTTTAATATTAAAAAGACGTCTTTTTGTTTGATGGATTTAACTGTTGTATTCAATACAATAGTTTAGCTGTTGTATTCAATATTGAATTCGTTGTGTTTTGTATTTAATTTAGGCGTATACAACAATTATTTTATTTTATCAATGTTTATATTCAAAATCATTTTATTAGCATCGTTAAAAACACTTCGACAAATGTTTTTAAATAAGTCACTTTCCAAGTAGCTTTTTTATATCAAAAAAACTGAAAAATGTGTCTGGGCATTTTTCAACGTTGCAAACTTGAACAAATGTCCCAGAGCCAACGCAATTTGATCCTGGACACACACGCGTACGAACTTGAGCACCGCCTCCACACGTTCGACTGCACTGTCCCCATTCACCCCATGATGACCATTCTTTAGGTTAAAATAAACAGTAATAATATTAATAATAATACAAAAGTGTCTAATTCAATAAATATTATATAAAACATTGCTAATTATAAAAAACGGAAACAAAATCTTACCAGTACATAAAGCAGTGTTACACTTAGTTATTTGAATACTGTCACCAATACACGAAACGCCGCCATAAAGAGGAGCAGGATTATTGCAATATCTGTTTCTCTGTTGTACGCCACCACCACACGTCAACGTACAAGCAGAATATGGACCCCAGCTGCTCCATTCACCGTTTACTAAATTTATTTTATATATAAAAATGAGTTATTTTTTTTTTATCTGTTAAAAACTTAAAGTAGCTAATATAAAACGTTTTAACAAAATACAAAATAAAAAACAATAAAAACCTGGACAATTAATTTGGTTGTTGCAAACTTCAGACATGACACTATAACCGACGCAATTCGCACCACCTCCAGACGGTGCAGGGTTGTTGCATTCTCTTTTTCTCGAGCGAGCACCGCCGACGCCACAAGAAAGACTGCAAGGTCCGTACGGAGACCAAGAACCCCATGCTCCATTAACTATAAAATATTAATGGCTAAACTTTTAGAATCTCATAAAACGAAAAAGGTTTAAATCATGGGATGTTAAAAGTCTAAAAAATTAGCTAATATTTTAATAAAATATTATTACTTATTACCTGGACAATCTTTATTTTCGTTACAAGCTTGATCTTCAAAATTAGATCCAGGACAATTCATACCACCGAATGCAGGAGCAGGGCTATTACACTGCCTTGATCTTCGCTGCAAACCACCTTTGCAAGTTTGAGAACAAGGGGTAAAACTTCCCCATAAGCCCCAGTTTCCATTTACTATAATATATATATATATATATATATGTATATATATATATATATATATATATATATATATATATATATATATATATACACATATATATATATATATATATATATATATATATATATATATACATATATATATATATATATATATATATATATATATATATATATATATATATATATATATATATATATATATATATATATATATACATATATATATATACACACATATATATATATATATATATATTTATATATATATATATATATATATATAAATAAGTATACAAATATATATATACACTTAACCTGCACAATCTGCAAGTTTGCATGTCTTCTGATAAATAAGCTCTCCTTCACATGGTTTTCCTCCGTGTTGAGGGTAGGGTTTCGTGCAAGTTCGAGTTGAAACTTGATTTCCAACTCCACATGTGTGACTACAAGGACTGAAATCACTCCATTCTGTTAAACCTCCATTTACTAAATGAGTCAAATTTACTAAGTGAGTCAAATTTAATAAATGAGTCAAGTTTTTATATTAATACAAAGTATCAAAGACAAAGTAAAAAGTGTTAACTCATGAATGCAAAATTTATTACTTGGACAATCTCTTGGTATACATGATCTGGCATCAAATAAAGGTCCAACACATGGTCTGCCTCCGAAATTCGGAGGAGGAGAATCACAAAATCTTTTTCTATATTGAATACCAAGGCCACAGGTTGTGGTACATTCTCCATATGCTGACCAAGATGAAAAACCACCATTGACTACATAATAATTCGTATAAAAATAACACAGTTGATATAAATAATGTTATATATAAAAAAATTAATAAAAAAATAAAAAAATTAGATAAAAAAAATTTAAAAAAATCTATTTAAGTTAAGCAACGATATAAGAAAAAGATATTCTCACCTGAGAATTTCTCACCTGAGAATTTCTCACCTGAGAATTTCTCACCTGAGAATTTCTCACCTGAGAATTTCTCATTTGAGAATTTCTCATCTGAGAATTTCTCACCTAAGAACTTCTTTTTCTTATATGGGAGACTTCTCACCTGGACATGGAAAATTATTACATGATCTGATATCTAAACTAACTCCAACACAATCAGCTCCGCCAAATTTAGGTAATGGATTATTACAAGTACGTCGAGCTCTTTGAATTCCACCTCCACATGTTAATGTACAAGAATCATAGTCCTCCCATTTGCTCCATTGGCCATCAACTTTATAAAATGAATTAATGAAACACATAAAACCATTTGAAATTTTACATGTATAATTTAATAATTGTGAAAAAATCATTTTAGGTAATACCCACCCAGTTTATTATACTTTGTAAACCAGAAAATATTATATGCCAATATGAATAAATTAACTTCCATTTAAATGGAAGATGATTCATTTTTAACATTTAGAATGAATTCCTCTAAACTGGACCCTCCAAGAGATCAGGAAAATTGATAGACAAAAAAGAAATTTAGATTAGTTTATGAATAGGGTTGAGTTTGGAAAAAATTGATAAAATTTAACTTAATACATTTACCTGTAAATTTACTGGTAAAGTATTACTACTGTGATAAATCATATTATGAAGCATCATGTTGACCACATCTTAAAACTTGATCCTCATGTTGACCATATCTTAAAGCTTGATCCTCATGTTGACCATATTTTAAAGCCTGATCCTCAGATGGATTAGTTGCAATAGCAATAATTTATCAGTAAATTTATTAGTAAATATATTAAGTTACCATTTACATCTATGAAATTTACTTCATTTACTACAATTTAAAAGTAAAATTGAATTGAACACAATTAAGTTAAGAACAACTTAGTAAATATTAATATAATGGTAATATTAGAAGATAATTTTTTATGGCTTCATGTTATTTTATGCTTCTATATTGTTAAACTCACCAAAGTAACAACTATTTTGTAACAGCTTGTTTTATGTTTTAGCTTTTATCTGTTTTTATGATACCTCACTGGGTCCAAGTTAATGTATATTTTTTGAATTCATTGAAACATAATTACTACTATTTTTTAATTTTTTGTTAATTATTTAGGTGCACCAAGAGATCTTAACAGTTTTATCACAGAGCACCACGGAATAGCATTTAACCTGGAAATCTACGCCTCCTTCCTTATTAATGATGTATTTATGGCCAGAGCCAGCTTTGAATTACATAACTCCAGTTCTGAATCCAGAACTCTTTTGAATTTATTGAAAGGCAAGTTTTATGTAAAGTTTAGAGTTAATAAAACTTCTCTACAAAAATCTCTCCAAGCAAACTTCAAAATTTTTTAAAAAATATTATAAATTGAAAAAAAAAAGATTTACTTGGGCATTCTTTCTGCTCACAAGTTCTTGTATCCACATCTGGTCCTACACAAGCAAGTCCGCCAAAGGCAGGAGCTGGATCGGTGCAAAATCTTTTACGAGTTTGAGTACCAACCCCACATGTTTTTGAACATGGGCTGTAGTCTGACCATTTTGTGTAACCACCATTAACTAAAAAAATTAAAACATTTTAAATGAGATTTAATTTTAACACTTTAAGAAAAAGGTTTTTAATACTTTTAGGACATCGCATTACTTAACACTTAAAATAATCCAACTAACTAATTTTGTATCTTAGATACAGATTTGCTTGAAGATGATGAACTTGTTATTATAGGCAACAAATAAAATAAATTTACCTGGACAATCTTTAATTTTACAAGTTATAGTATGCACTAAAGGATCAGTGCAATCTTTTCCACCATGTCTTGGAGCAGGATTTGTGCAAGTTCTAAATCTTGTTTGTTCACCAACTCCACAACTTGTAGAGCACAATCCAAAAGCACCCCACTCTGAAACTTCGCCATTGACTAAAAAATATTTACATGACAAGATTAATAAACTGCAAAACAATTGCCAATCTAATTAAACTTAATCAATGTTTTTAAAAACCTATTTACAAAACAGAAAGTATTTGTTTACATTTATTTATTGCTTATTCTATTTTATTTTATTATATTTTTTATTTTATATTTGTATTTCACACACTATTATTAACTAAAATTTGTGTTTGTTTACATTTATTTATTGCTTATTATATTTTATTTTACTTATTAATTTTTTTTTTGTACATACATCAACTGACTTTAATAGGGAAAACATGTGAGGAGCGACTTTAATAGGGAGCATGTATACATTGACAAAGTATTTAGATTGAAGCAGGCTATCTTAATGCCGGCTCTAACCCTTTCCCTGTTGTATGTACACACCCTGTATGTTCTCCCTATTTAAGTTGGTTGATACTCTTATTCATTCTGATTATATAAAGAATCATTCACAAGGCAAAATGATAAAATTTAAGTGGTAAAATATCAAAATCTAGTTTAAATAAGTGAAAACATCACAATTAATGTTATTAGTTTTAATACTACAAGAAGATAAATCTCCAGTAGCAGAACATGTGTTCTGCTATATGTAGATCTTATATAATAGAGAGATATCTATAGTAATATATAGTAATCTAGTATACCTTATATAATGGGAAATAATTTGCTGAATTACTTGCAAATATAATAAAATGGTACAGCATTATTATTATTATTATTATTATTATTATTATTATTATTATTATTATTATTATTATTATTATTATTATTATTATTATTATTATTATTATAGCATGACTAGTCTCCTCATGTCACTCCTTCATTAGTAGAGCTAAGGAATATTATAGAAAGTGGCTTAGAAAACCCACATCCATGCATGACATGCTTATGACAATACTTAAATGTATTAAAGGTTTTAATAATATTATTTATCATTATCATAATCATCATGATCATGATCATCATGATCATGATCATCATTATCATCATCATCATCATCATCATCATCATCATCATCATCATCATCATCATCATCATCATCATCATCATCATCTTTATCACCATGATAACCATTAATTTAGGATTTTAGCACTTGCACATGTTATATCTCAAATGTTTTTTTTTTAATCATTACCTGATCCCACTCTTTTTCTTGTAAAGCAATTGCTTACAAATTGTACAAACAATAATGTTTGTTCCTACTCTTATGCTACACACACGACATGACTAATTTCCAGTATTTTCATAATTGACTCATTCTTGACTTTGCAGCAAAACTTTTACAAACAACTTGTATCTTACTTATTTTTATTCTTTAATTCATTCAAAAACTCTGAATATTAATTTTTCTTGTCTCTGTAATCAGGTATAAGCCATCAAATAGTTTCAATAGTGAACCAACACTGAACTCTTTAGAGAGAGCCTCCAAAACAGTAAAAAAATGAAAAACTGAACTCTGATGTTATTAGTATCTAATGCTATTATTATACAACTGTAATGTAAATAAGTAGCAATTATAATTAATAAGTAACCAAATACATTTATTCATTATTAACCAAGTAAATAATACCATTTATTGGGTAACTAACTAAATTGTGTTATTATTAGGTAACCAAAAAAATTATATTATTATTTGGTAACTAAGTAAATTATATTATTACATATAATTTGTTCTTAACCAAGTAAAGTTATTTACCAGGACATGGAAACGCATTACAAGATTTTTCTTCAACAGCACTTCCGATACAAGCTTTTCCACCATATTGTGGAGCTGGGTTATTGCACTCACGCTGTCTCTGCTGTTTACCAATGTTACATGAAGCAGAACAATCAGTAAATGAAGAAAATGGACTCCAATTACCATCAACTAAAAAATGTTTTAAAATAATTTTAAATAAAAAAAAATAAAATCTATCATCATGCATTAAATGTTGATTAAAGTTATTTTTTAAATTTATTAATTTATTTATGATTTTTTTCTTTTTTCTTATTTTGATTAAAAGCAATAAAACTTTTTCTTTTTTCTTATTTTGATTAAAACAAATAAAAACAAACAAAAAAATTGTTTCTCACATATTTATAAATGTTAATATAAAAAATTATATTTTAATGTAAAATATAAACAAAAACTATTTTTAAAAAATTTTTTTTAACAAAAATAGTTAAACAGTATTTATAAACAATAAAAATTTAAAAATATCTTTATAGAAGTCTAATAAATGAAAGCTAATTTTAGATAAATAGTAAAACTATTTATCTAAACTTACCTGGGCATTCGCGAACTTTGCATTCATTAACCTCTTTTAACTCTCCAATGCAATTCATGCCTTGATATTGTGGAGGAGGGTTAGTACATGATCTAGATCTGGTCATTTGTCCAATTCCACAAGTTTGAGAGCAAGTACTGAACTCTGTCCACAATGATAAACCTCCATTTACTATGAATATTATAATACCATTTATAGATAATAATATATCTATATATCATAAAAAACTTGTTTTTTAAATTATGCATACATACGTATACATACATAGATACATACATACATACATACATACATACATACATACATACATACATACATACATACATACATACATACATACATACATACAAAATTATATAATTTAATGATAGTTACAACAATAGAAAACCAATAATACTTGGGCATTCTTTAATTTTGCAAACAATTACTTCTCGACTATTACCAGCACAGTCATTTCCTCCAAATGATGGAGGGGGATTTGTGCAATAACGAACTCTATATTGTTTTCCAAGACCACAAGGCTCAGAACATATAGAGAATGCTGACCATTCACTAAACTCTCCATTTACTACAAACGAAAAATTGCAACTTTTATAAGAAATTCAAAATTTAAAATAATTTTCAACATAGGTATTTAAGTTAAACTATAAAATTACTGGGGCAGTCTCTTAATTTACAAGTTTTAGTATCCAATGTTGGCCCAAAGCAATCTCTACCCCCATGTGCTGGTGATGGTTGTGTACAGGTTCGTTTTCTCTGAGCAATCCCACTTCCACAAGTATTAGAACATGGACTGTATTCTGACCATTGTGAAAAATTACCGTTCACTATATATAATTAAAAAATTAAATAATTAATAATTTTCATAATTTAATCATAAAACATAAAACAACATAACTCATAAAATAACATCGATATATTTAATATAATTATATATATATATATATATATATATATATATATATATAGTAATATATATATATATATATATATATATATATATATATATATATATATATATATATATATATATATATATATATATATATATATATATATATATGTGGCATTTTCAGTAATAAAGCCCTTATTTGGCCAGACTCAAATCATTTTAGCTTATTTATTTTTTAGACTAACAGTTTCATACAAAGTAGCTAAAAATTTAATTTACAGTTTAAATAGACAAACATTTGATAAAGTTGTTGCGTGCCTAACATTAGTTAAAAATGTTAAAAACACACACACACAAACAGTAAAAATATAGGGGAATAAAATAAAATTACTTTTTAAATCAAGCTAATTAAATTTTGAATTACCTGGGCATGGTTTTAAAGTGCAACTAACTGATTCAATCAAATGACCAGTACAACCTAAACCACCATTTGCTGGAGATGGATTAGTGCAGGTTCTGGTACGATACTGATTTCCTAAGCCGCAAGGTTCTGAACATTCGGAGAATAATGACCAGTCACTTAATCCTCCATTAACTAATTAAAAAAAAAAGATCTATATATGTAACATTATTGAAAATAATTCATATTTTTTGTAATATTTATTTCATAAAATTTGAGATCTCATTTTTTTACTTTTCTGTTATAATTAATTTTTTATTGTATGTGCTCCTTTAATAAATGCATATTTTGTTAGCAAACTAAAAAACTATATAAGAAAAAAAAAGTTTGAATGACATGTAAAAATGACATGTAAAAATGACATTTAAAAAAATTCAATTTAATATGAAAATTACCAGGGCATTCTCTGACTTTACACTCTTGTTGTTCACTACTTATTAATCCAGAACAGTCTTTGCCACCATAAGCAGGCTCAGGATTGTTACATATGCGCTTGCGCCATTGAATACCAGATCCACAAGATTTAGAACATTCAGTAAAATCAGACCATTGACCCAAACCACCATCAACTAAAAAATAATAAACAAATTTTTAAAAAATTTCACTTCTTTATTAAATGAAAATAATATACAAGAAAATATGATATTCTCTATTTTCTATATTTGTTTTTATTCTGTAATTTATTCATTATTTTGTATTTTCTGTTTTTTTGTTCTGTATTTCTTACATTTTTATTTATTTTTAGAGCCTCCTAAGATTATTACTTTGTTTTATATATGTGATAAATTGCCTTTACTTGGGAACTATCTGATAAAATAGACTTGGAGCTACCTGAAAAAATAGATTTAGAGTTTCACCTGGACATTCTTTTAGTTTACAGAATGCAGTGTCTTCCGTTGGTCCTACACAACTACTACCACCATTTGATGGTGCAGGATTAGAACATGATCGTGTTCGAATTTTTTTCCCTTCTCCACAAGATTTTGAGCAGTCACTGAAATCTGACCATTGAGTAAACCCACCATGCACTTATAAATTTAAAAAAATTATGTTAATCTATAGATATACATTTATACATAGATATATGATATAAAAAATACTTTTTAGTATTTGGTATAAATCATTAATTATTACTAATAAATTAGTATAAGTTAAATAAATTATCCTGATTGTAGAGTAAAAGCTAAGTAAATGTGGAAACAAACACAAAATAAAATCACCTGGACATAAATGAATATTACAACTTTTTGAATCAAAATCAGGTCCAAAACAAGGTGCACCTCCATTACTTGGAGGTGGATTAGTACAAGACCTAGTCCTAGTTTGTTTACCACCATTACATGGAGATGAGCAGACAGAGTAAGCTGACCATTGACTATAGGCACCATCAACTTTAATCAAAATAAATTAAACGATTTTCAAATATAATTATACAATTAAATTTAAAATTCTTAATAAAAATATAGTAAAAGAGTAGTTACCAGGACATTCTCTGATATTGCATATTTGATTTTTAACAAATTCTCCAACACAAGTTTTACCACCAAATTTGGGTTCAGGATTTGAACAGGTCCTTATTGCTTGTTTGATACCTTCCCCACAACTTTTAGAGCATTCATTAAAGTCACTCCAGTTTGTAAAACCTCCATCAACTATGTATATATAAGAATATGTTTATAAATATGTTTACCTGTGTGTAAGTGAATGTGTATTTGTGAAAGCACACAAATGATATACTTAAATTTGAAGTAAACTTTAATGTTCTTTAAAGTTTTTTATACAAAAAAAAGGTCTTGTTGGTCATGGCTCAAAGTTAAAGAATTTTTTTTTTTTTATTTTTTTTTTATTTTACTTCACCTCCTCAAGGCCGAGAAGGCCACTACAGACGAGGAGGCTACTTATTTTGTGGTTATAACCCTCTCTCAACTCTATAACTCTGAAACACGAACCTTGACGAACAAGGCCGCTGCGGGGAGAAACAAGTTGAGCGCGGTACTACCAGGGACGTGGTACGGATCGAACTCGGAACCACTTGTTTATGAAGCGAGCGCTCTACCACTACACCACTACCGCAATTAAGAGAGGGTTGTACTTTAAAAAAAAATAGTGGATCCTCCACAGTCCATCTATAGTACCCCATCTAGCTAAGCAAGATAACTACATTAAAAAAATATTTTAAAACTTAAGGTAATTTTGATAAAACAATTAAGACTAAATAAAGATTAATAATAGTGCATCCAATACCAAAATTATTTTCAATACCGGTATTTCGGTACTGAATAATTTCAATACCGGTAATACCGGTATAATACTGATACTGAATTTTTTCCTCTTAAACACATTTAGGTTAAAGCGAGTGATGTAATACTATAATACAAATCAGTCCTAGGCATTTAAAAAAAACCATGCATGAAAACTTGTATATGTTTGTTTATTATTTTAATAATATCAAAACTGGCTCCAATTAACTTTTATTTAGTTCTAATCTATATAAATATTTTGTTGACAAAGATTTCATTAGAAATAATTAAGTTTGAAACAGAATCACACACGGAACAGAAAAATACAAATTTTAGTTACTAGATAAATAAACTTCAATTTCTCGTAAAATATAAATTCCAGCAGTATATTTTTAAATATTACAAAATTTTCCAGAAAGTTACAAGATTGCACTGCTATCAAATTATTAGAGTTTAAATTCAGTTCTTGTATGCATTATATATTTTTATGAAAATAAATTGCTTGTGAGTATTTCAAGTAAAATATTATGTTACTAAAACTCATATTTAATATATTTTCAATGAGAAAGAGCAGTCATCAAATATTTTTGGCTAGAGCAAAGCAATTAGAAAAATATTGTATATTTTTCTAATCTATTGCATATAATATAACTATTTAAATAATTGTATAATATTACTATTGCGTCATTAACTCACACACACAAAATAAAATGATAAAAGTATATATATATAAATAATCAGGCAGCTTAAAATACGAAAAAAATATTCTTTAAGAAATTCATAATAGTATACATATTGCCAAAGGTTTTGGCTTCTAATTGTAAAAACAAAAAAATTCAAGTGCAGAAAGGGAAATGCTTTGTTAATAGAAGACAGAAAGAGTTTTTCTTTTAAATAAAACAAGTTTTAACTAAAAATTTTTATCAATTAATTTTTTATAAATAACCAATTAAATAATTATTCATTTTCTCATTCCCAAACTCTTGAGCAAACATGATCTTATATTCTTATTATAAGCTGAACAAGCGTTGTTTATGGCACCTAGCCCTGTACATATATTTTTTAATATGGGTATTGTGTTTAAACAATACCGGTACTTTGGTACTTATAAAACCCAGTATTCTGATATTGGTACTACCAGTATTGGATGCTCTAATTAATAACACTTAATATAAATTAAAGGATTTTTTGTATTAATTCTATTATTATTTTATTAATTCTATTAGTTTATTATTGTATTAATAAATTAATATATTAAAACCTGGACACTCTTTTACTTTACAACTAATAGTTTCTTCATTTAAACCAATGCAGTCTGTTCCGCCAAATGCAGGAGAAGGATTTGTGCATGTTCGTGTACGTTTCTGCAACCCTTCACCACAACTGCTGGAACATGCACTAAATTCAGACCATGGCGTGAAATCTCCATTAACTAAATTGAAAGTTTAAATTTGAAATCATACATACTGTTGTAATTATAAATAATAACAATAGAAAACCACATTAATTAATAAACAATAGAAATATACTTTACATAACTATATAGTTAATTAACATTCAAAACTAAACCAAACTAAACTAATAAACCCAATTAAACCAAAAGTTTGGAATAAAAAAACTTTAATTCAAATTTCAATAAATTGCATTATAAAAATAACTAACCTGGGCACTTTTGAATATTGCAACTTTTTTTGTCTTCAACTGGTCCGCTACAAGGCAGTCCTCCATGAGCAGGAGCAGGATCAGTGCAAGTTCTTGTTCTACGCTGATACCCTCCATTACAAGGTTCTGTACATTCACTGTAACTTGACCAACTTGTAAATTTGCCATTAACTAAAAAGTTCAAATTAAAAAGAAATATGTTTAATTATAAAACAAATGTGAAATGATTGTTTAAAGTGAAATGAATGATTAATAAACAAACAAATGTTTTTTTTATTTTTAAACTTTTTTTTTTAACAAAATAGTATTGTGTATTGTATTGTAGATATTTATAAATACAATATTAATAAATGTTATATAATAGTTTATATCATCAGTGAAAAACTTTTTTGTTATATTTTATAACTTATATAAAACTTCAATATCAAAAAAATAAAAAAAATAAAAAAATTCTCAAAATATGTTTAAAAACTCCAGGTACAAGGAATAAGAATTTATTTCAAATAAGCAAAATTTTAAACAAATAAAAATCTACTTGAAAGTGAAAATAAGAAAATAAAAAAAATTTGGAACAGTGCATAAATCTTTTCCTTTTAAAATAAAAAAATTGCTAAAATTTTTCATTGCTTTTGTATTTCTAAGGAATGCTTGCAAACCTCTTTGATAACAGGTTAAAAAGTGTCAAATGTCGAATGTTGTCTGTCTTCCTTCTCTTTTTCCTTATTTATATAAAAATACAAAATTTTTAACTTTGGATTCACTTGTACAAATCTCTAAGTCTATGTTTATAGAACAGGATTTGCGCTTACTGCAAGATCGGACCTTTCTAACACAACTATTTAAAGTGCTTGAAAGTACAAGGCCCGTGACACAACATGCACATGGTTTTAAGAAAATAATCATTCACCATTCATTCATTCAAATCACTTTTTCCTAAGCTTCTTGTCCCCTATGCAAAAATTCTTTCCATGATTTTTATTTTCTGGGTTGATCTATGATTGATATTATAGATTTTTTTATTGTAATGTAAGACGTCATTTATCAATTTCAGGTTTTCACTGGTTTTTGCATCTTAATGTTGCTATACTTTTTTTGATTTGGCAAGTCCAATAATTTGCAATTTGATGCAATCCAATTGTACTAAAACTTAAAATATTTCAATGCAATATTTAAAATTTTTAGCAATCCAAATATTGTTTTGTAATGTTAAAACTATTTTTTTAGTTGAGCAAAAATACTTTAAAAAAAAAAAACTCTTGTTTCATTTTAGTATGAGAAAACTAAAACTTTGCTTACTCAACTAAACTTTTGTGATTATCTATATTTGAGTTGACACTTCACAGTATTTGCGCAAAAAGAACTTTAACACCCTAATGACTCTTAAGTCAATTGGTTGAGCTTTGAAGGTTGTGTTGAGTGATAGGCAACTTTTTAACAAAACTGCTGTTAGGCCTTTCAAACAAACCCCATTTCCTCATGTTAGGCCTAAAGCTGTTTACCACTTAAATGAAACGACTTGATTTAAAGCACTCAACAAAAAAGGTCTGACATTGTAAATATCATAAAATATTTATATTGATTTATACTATTTATATTTACATTATTATTTATAATTATTTATATTATTATTTATTATGATTTATTTTTACCATTAAATTTTGCCCCAACAAACTAAATATCTTTTTAAAAAACTTTGTTGTTTATTAACTTTATTGAGTGCTTGTTTCCTATTTATTGTTTTTCAAATATTTCAGTAATTTAAATGATTAAAGCTACTTTTAAAATGGCCACCATGTTATGTTGTACCATAGGTATAAATAAACAAGTAAAGCTATTTTTGTACAAAAATAAATAACCTGGACATTCTCGAAGTTTACATTCACGTTGTTGAGAAGTTTCTCCATAACACCCTTTACCTCCATATGCAGGTAAAGGATTATTGCATTCTCGTTTTCTTTCTTGTAGTCCAGATCCACATTTTTCTGAGCATTCACCAAAGTCTGACCACTCCCCAAAAGCACCATCAACTAAAATATTTTACTGACTCAGTGAAAAAATAATAACCTTGTCTGTAAAAACATATTATTTATCAATATTTTTATAGATAAATAATATACATAAATTTCTTTATTATTTATGATATCTGTTTTATACTTTTATAATAAAAACTTGAATTTTTTTCAATATCTAAAAACATAAAGAAAAAAATTTACGGATAAAAAACAAACATTACTTGGACACTCTTCTACTTTACATGAAAAGACTTCAACTAAAGATCCAATACAATCTTTTCCTCCAACTGATGGAGCAGGATTTGTACAGGTACGCTTGCGTTCTTTAATGCCATTTCCACATGTTTTTGAACAGCTAGAAAATAATGACCACTCGCTGAGACCACCATTTACTAAAAAAAGTTAAAGCTATATTTAGCCAAACATTTATTAGGAATACTTTACAAACTTAAATACAAGATATTTAGAAATTTAACAAGTGTTATGTCTAATTAACTGTAAAATAGGCGTGGTTAAGTGCTAGGTCAAGTGGTTATGCGCTAGGTCTGGTTATGCAACTACTATTATTCTTAACCATATTATGGTTTAGTGCAACAGTAGTTTTTGCTGGTATCCTAGATTTTGTCAAAAGTTTTTGGTTGCCACTTTACTTTTACCGTTTACATGATACCAAAAACTTTCAAGATACTAATCTCCATCTTCACATAAAGAATTTAAAAAAATTAATTCTTTCCTATTGCAGTATGAAAAAAGCACTTTATGGTTTAAGCACATTCCTCTTTTTTTAGATAATCTTAATAACCTTGCAGTACTCTTTTATAAATTTTTTAATCACAGTACGGAAGAAGCAATAAAGAAGAAAAAAAAAAGAAGAATTGTTTAACTTCTTTAACTTTGCAACTTCTTTAATAATATAATGTTATTTATAGACAAGAAAGAACAAAGTGAGTACTGCAAAAACCATTGGACCTTGCAAGAAACATGGCAATGCTATATTGCTATTAACTTTCACATTTTAATCCTTTCTCCAAAAATTGCTACAAACAAGTTATTATAAAAAATATTTGAAAATAAAAGTAATGATCATGAATACATGTATCATCTTGGTGATTTCTCATAATGCAATGAATAGAAGTAAGATTTCAGTAATAAAAAAAAGATTAAAATAATAATAAAAAAGCATACTTGCACACTTTTGGATATTGCATGTTCGAGCATCTTCTGGAGGTCCAACACATGGTAATCCACCATTAGCAGGAGATGGGTTGGTACAAGTCCTTGTTCTTTTTTGCCTTCCTGCATTACATGGTTCACTGCATTCAGAATAAGTTGACCATGTTGAGTACATACCATTAACTTAAATATAAGTACTTTATTATTAACTAAAGTATATACTAAACTATAGTTTATATAAATATAAATAATTAACATACATCAAGCACTATATATATATATATATATATATATATATATATATATATATATATATATATATATATATATATATATATATATATGTATATATATATATATATATATATATATATTTGGTAAATAATTAACATACATCAAACACTATATATATATATATATATATATATATATATATATATATATATATATATTTGGTAAATAATTAACATACATCAAACACTATATATATATATATATATATATATATATATATATATATATATATATATATATATATATATATATATATATATATATATATATATATATATATATATATATATATATATATATATATATATATATATAAATGTTTAGATATTTTGATGATTTAAATGTTTCAGAAATGCGCTGAAAAAAGAAACATTAAGCTAAACTTAAACCAGAAAAAAAACTTTATGAATAAGCAAAACAATTCCTTACGAAAAAGAAAACAAATTAGCTTTAAAATAAAACTATTAAAACTCGAAGTTAAAATTACTTTTTGTTACGTTTTTTATTGCATGTGAAAAAAATCACTCTAAAACTTATCTTTTAAAATGTTTAACTAAAGTTACGCAAAACGCTTTTACAACTTAATTTTATTGATTGATAAAAAAAATTAATTTAATTATTGAAAAAAGAATTAAATAAATTAAATAAATTATAAACTTTTTGGAAAAAATGTTTGTAATAAAGTATAAACATTTTTTTCAAAAAATTCATTGTAAAAAAAAAAAAAAAAAAAAAAAAGTAACAGTAATAAAGCAATTAAATTATGGTAAGATTTAACTTAACTTTTAACTTATTTATAATTTAAAGTACTTAAAAACTAATCATTTTAAAAGATTTTAAGAAAGACATGGAAAAACAGTTTCAAACGTTTAAATTTTTTTATTGAATTTAAATTGTTAAAACATCAAAACAGCCATCGTTAAATTGTAAAGAAAAAAATAAATAAAAAAGCGTCATTATATACAGGGTGAAAAATTAAAAAATCTAAAAAAGCATACAATATTAAATTGAAACTATTTTATTAAAAAAACAAAAATGATGCAATGAAATACTCTAAATAATAAGGCAAGAACTGCAATAAAATACTCTAAATAATAAGGCAAGAACTGCAATGAAATACTCTAAATAATAAGGCAGCAACTGCAACTTTACTACACTAATGTTAATTAAACTGAATAACATGACAAAGATTTCTATAGCCTAACTCGATTTTGTAAAACCGAAATAATTATATATTAAAAATTTGATCAAACATTGTCCGACCCAAACAAGTTTTGATCAGATATTTTGTCCGGGACTTTTAAAAAAATTAAATTGAGCCCTGCAACAAGAAATATTTTCAAATTATAGAATTCAACTTATTACCAATACTATAGACAATATTATAAAAAGCTTGTTTAACTAAATATAACTAATATGGTACCTTGTAATAACTTATCTTTGTAATAACAAATAAGTAAATAAAAAATTAATAGTAAAAACAACTTAAAATTAAACTTCATTAAAACTAACCTGGACACTCTCTCACAATACAACTCTGAATTTCCTGTCTGCTTCCAAAGCAACCTGCACCACCATTTTGAGGAGTAGGATTTGTACATGTTCTAGTTCTTGTCTTTAAGCCTTGTCCACAAGTTGTAGAACATTCATCAAAATCACCCCAATTGGAAAATCCTCCATTAACTAAAAGTAACAAAAAAATGTTCTCTCATAAAAAATTCTTTTCAAAAAATAACTTTCATTTGTTACTCTTAAAAATTAAAGACTTTTTTTAATTTGGTGATTAACTTTTTTAACTTGGTGATAACCAAAACAAAGGCTGAAATGTATTTTTATTCATAACTATCATTAAAAAAAGTAAATTATCATAAACATGAATACCTGGGCAAGGTTTTACTTCACAGCTTTGTAGTTCCTCTGATAATCCTGAACAGTCATACTTTTTATTTTCACATATTCGTTTTCGAGATCGAACACCAACACCACAAGATTTTGAACACTCACTAAAGTCAGACCATTGTGAATATCCCGTGTTGGCTGTAAAAAATAAAAATTATCTATAAAAGTTTAATTTTTATAAATAATTTGACATTTATTACTGAAAATAAGAAATATACTGAAACAATATATCTAATTACTTAAATTTGAATACAAATAAAATTTAAATTGGATTACTGATACAATTAAAATATTAAACTTATTTTACTGAAATAATCAAAAATTATAATAAAATAATTTTATTACTGAAATATAAACAAAATAACTTGATATCTAAATTATTTTAAGTAATTTCCAAATTGCAACCAAAACATAAAATTTTAAAAACTTTCATTAAAGGCAATAAAAAGTGAAAAACTAAAAAGAGATAAACTGCATATTATTTTTTAGTTTTTTAATGAAAAAAAAAATTGATTAAAATGCTAACCTGGGCAGTCTTTGATTTTACATTCTCTGACTTGGAGAAATTCCCCACCACATTGCTTGCCACCATAAGAAGGTGCAGGGTTAGTACATTTTCTTTGCCGTTCTTGAGAACCAAGACCACATAATTCAGAACAGGGTGTAAAATCTGACCATTCACTCATTCCTCCATCAACTAAAAAATTTCTTAAATTTCTTATTAAATAATATTTTCTCTAGAAATAAAACACATATATGACAAAACAATTGACATTATATATACATATACAACAATTTAAAAATAGCACATATACAACAACTTGAAAAAGCAATTATAAATGCGTAAATTTTTATCATAAAAAAACTTGTTACTTGGACATTGTTGAACATTGCATGGTACATCTTCAATCATTATATCATTACAAATTGTGCCACCAAAATTTGGGGCTGGATTAGTACATGATCGTGTTCGTGTTTTAACCCCACCACCACATGATTTAGAACAGTCAGAGTACGATGACCAAGATGATAATCCACCATTGACTGCAACAAAAAAAGAATATTTTATCTAAGGAAGTTATACTCAGTAAATTGCTTAAAATATTATAAGAATATTCTTCTAAAAAATTGTTAAAACATTTTTTTTAAATAAATTATAAAAATATTCTTTTAAAACATTATAAAAATACTCTTTCAAAAATACTTTTCATAACATAAATTTGTAGTTTAAATTTTGTAAAATTTTTATATTACTCTATGTAATGAGGTCTTAAGTCTTAAGCAAAATTTAAAGCTATTAGCATAAAAAAATTATCAAAGTAATAAATACTGCAAGAATTATAAGTCATTATCTGTATATAGGCATGTAATGTGAGAAATGACTTAAAATAAGGTACTCTTATATGTCAATTTACATACTGGGGCACTCTTTGATTTTACAAGCTTTTGATTCCTCTAAGCTTCCTTGACAATCATCTCCACCATAAGCAGGTGCAGGATTGTTACATGTTCTTTTTCTTGTTTGTTCCCCATTTCCACATTCCTTAGAACATTCACTGTAAACACTCCATTGACTAAAACCTCCATTAACTAAAAATGTATAACTTTATTATCAACTAAAACTTTGTTATTAATGTCAAAATATATAAAATTATAAATATATAAATAGTACTAAAATGTAGCAATAACTAAAAATTTACATATTAATAATATATTTTCAATTTCATATTTATTTATTTATTATTTATTTATTTTTTTTTTACCTGGACAATCTTTAATTTTACATTGTCTAGTTTCAGTTTGTAAACCTTCACAGTTCATTCCACCATAGGCTGGTGCAGGATATGTACAAGATCTTGTTCTTTCTTGAATACCATCACCACATTGCTCTGAGCATATACCGAATGCTGACCATTCACTAAAACCACCATTTACTAAAAAAAAAAAGAAATATGTTATTTTTCCTTACAGCTACTTAAGAGTTCAATAAAATACTTTAACATAAATATTAAGTATGTTGAAGTTTTTTTGTTTTTGTCTCAATCCAACTTAATCCTACCTAACTTAACTTTCTTTAAAAAAATTGATAACTCAAAGTCATAACTTGAAACACTGAAAATTCATGGTTGAGTTTTTAACATTCTAAGTTTGATTTAGAAAAAAAATTACATGAATTATTTAGGTACTTTTCTTGAACTTAAAATCAAGCAACTTTCTTGAACTTTAACTTGTTATCATTTTAATTTGGCTGTTGAATATTTTTTATACTTAAAAAATATATATGCTTTTGTGCTTTATTTTCAATCATCTAATGTATTATCATTTGTTTTAATGGTTACTTTTTAATTTTTCAAGATAACTAACCTGGACATGAATGAGAATTACATTCAGTATCATCAATTAAGTTTTCTGTGCAATCCAAACCTCCAAAGCTAGGTGCAGGATTGTTACATAATCTAGTGCGTCTTTTTACACCACCATCACATGACTTTGTACAAGTGCTAAAAGCTGACCAAGAGGACAAACCACCATTAACTATAATAAAAGAGTATAAATATTTAAGTTTGAGCTCTTATATGTTCCAATCCCTAATATCTATATGTTGTTTCTTATTTATTTTTTTAATTAGTCTCAGTACCAAATCAGATAAAAAAAATATTTAAAAAGTTAAATGAATTAATTACAGATCAAAAATAACAAATTATGTTAGTTAAACAATAAATATTATGCAAAGTTTATCTAGCATAATTAATCAAACATTGGAAAACCTTGGTGAAAAATGGATACATCAAAAAAGTTTTATATAAATTTGTTATTTTATATTTTTATATTTTCTACAAACTTTTTTTAATTACTGTTGTTTTATATTTTTATATAATACTTTCTATTTTATAAACTTTGGAAATCTCTGGCAAAACTTGGTTAATAATGGATACATCAAAAATCTTTGATACAAATGTTAATAATTAAGTAAAATATGTTATTATAGAGTAAAATGTTTGTAAATTTGCCACCAATTCTTTAATTTTGAGAATTAAAAACGCAAATAGTAAAATTTTTCAATTGTTGATTAAAAAAAAAATTAACTTCCAAAAAATTTCCATTTTTTCTATTTTTTTTATTATTAGGAGCAGAAAAAATGTAAAGGTAAAATTACCCCAATAAAAAGTTGGGGTAATTTTGCCACTTAACTTACATCATAATTTTTTTTTAAACTTTTAAACCAATTTACAATCAGTTAAATAAAAGCAATCTAATAATATTAAACAAGGGGAAAAAAATTAGTTAACTAAAATTAGAGTTTTAGAAATCATCAAATTAAAAAATACTTTTTAATTTTACAACATAGGAGATAATTTGTTTTGATTGTTTTGATTTTTGATTGTTTAAAAATTTATTGTTTCCTATAATTTAGTGAGCAATGAAATTCTACTGCATTTTTTTGGGTCTATGTTTTTATGGAACCTATTTTCAGCAAGAGCTTATCTCACATTAAAAACAAAGGTTTTGCTGAACAGTTGTTGTATTTTTGATTGGCTTTTGACACTTTACTGCATTTTTTCTCTTTTAAATTTGAACTTTATTTTAAGTCGTGGTCAAATTCATTGTGTCACTTTCATTGCTTCAATAGTTGGTTTTGGTTTGAGACATTTTTGCTTCTGAATATTCTATTGCTACATTCACTTGTTCAAAAATCAATGATTCTACAATGCATTCACAATCGACTACAACTTTATCTTGCTTTTTGGGCCTTTGATTTTGATTTCATGATTTTGATTGCAGGTACTTTTTCGAGTTTCTCTTTAATTACTTTTTCCAAACTGCGCATTTGATGTTATTGTTCTTTCAATGAATGCTTAACATCAATGGGTGCTTAATGCCATATTTCTGTTTTCTGTATAATAGAAGACTACGAGGTCTTTCAACTTTTAATGAGCTGTGCTTATTTCTTCTTACATCTTAGAAGTTTTATCTTTATCTATCTTTAATTTGTTTTTTAGTGGCTATATTGTTTCAATGTAAATTGCATTTTAGCTGAATTTCATCATAAAATTTGCAGTTTGAATATCTTATTAAATTCATTACAAGTGTATTTTAACTCAAATTTTATATATTTTAAGTTCATTGAGTTGTATTTTATGTATGTTAACTAACAAAATAAAAAAAACAAAGTAAAAAAACTTATTGTGTATTTAAAGTAGTAACTAAAAAGTACTTCTGTTTTAAAAACATTGTTGTACAAAAGAGTTCGCCTAAATAAAAACTTTTTAATAAGAATTTTTTCTTTCTAAAACTGGTACAAAAGAAACCTCATTTACAAGTTATTTACATGAGTCGGTTGGGAGAAATTCGGTCACTAGTAAAAATCTTTAATAAATTTGTAATTTTAATTTTAATGAATTCGTAATTTTTAATGAATTTGTTATGCTTTACATATCAGGTTTAAAATATGTTAAAAAAGGTAAAAAAATTAAAAAAGGTAAAAATATTCTTGAAAATTGGATTGTATGACATTCATCAATTAAAAAGCATTTTCTATTAGCTTTTTACGGTTAATCCATAATTATGCAATAATGTTTTATAAAACACTTTTTAATTTAAATATTATAAGTAGAGATGGGAAACAAACAGAACCCAAACCAAATGAACCAAACTAAAGCCTTACATATGACCAAACTGAACTGAACTTTACTTGTTACCAAACGGAGCCCAAACTTTGAAATTTTTTGGAACAAACCAAACCAAACAAACTGTTCTTACCCTAACCATTAATCCAAAAAGAGATTTATTGCAGTGAAAATTTTGCAACTTGTACTACAATACATAACATAATTGTGTACATATGCGTAATTTAATAAAATTATAATAAATTGTATATATATATATATATATATATATATATCAGGCCTTGTTAAGAATCGTTACGCAGCTTGCATTTTACCTGCAAAAAGACAATTTGCCTACGCGTTCAGCAGTTTTGCATTACGCAAAAACTTTAATCTTTTAGAATATTTAAATTATCATTTGATATCGTTTATGTGATGTTTATTCAGAAGAAAATAAAGTCGTAAGTAAAAGCATTTAACCGCAATTGTAAACTAATAGATTTTTTGTTAAAGAAAAATTTGTTTAATTATTTTTATTGTTGTTGTTAAAAATTAGTTTAAAAAAAATAAATGTTTTAAGTTTAAACTTATTATCATATTTAATATTAAGTTTTATATTGATTGAGTAAAAAAATAGTAAAAATACGTTAGGTTTCACTGTACATAAAAATAAAATATTTTAATGGAAATAAAAAAAAAACAAGCATAAATCGAATGTTTGAAAGCAAAAAAAATAATGTTTAAATAAGTATAAGATTTTAATACAAAAAGACTTTTTTTTTAATCAACATTAAAACTTTAGTTTTTTTTATATCAATATTGTTCAATTTAAAGCTATTTCGTTTTAAAGCTATTTCGTTTCTAAGACTAACAATGGTTTTTATTGTCATTTTAAATTTAATTACAATGAAGTAAAAACGCAACTGACATAATTTAACTTTTAACAATGTAAATATCTTTATTCAGTAAAGTTACATTTACTCACGTCTCGCTTTTCCGTTACGCAGCGAAATCTCGTAACAAGGCCTGATATATATATATATATATATATATATATATATATATATATATATATATAATACATAATAACTATTTTGTTTATGGTTAGTCTGTAATATCGATAATTCAGACAGTGGGCGTAATTTAAAGGCAGCTTTTCTGCCTAGCTTGAATAAAAAATTTATTATTCATCCTTTACTATAGATAAAAATTTCCTGGAAATTTTCAAGTCAGGAAATTTTACAGAAAATTTCCGTAATTTTTGGAAATTTTGGAAATATTAATAACGCAGAATTTTTTTTTTTTTGAATTTTTATAGTTTTTGTATTGTTTACCATTACTTTACTTTTTTAATGATTAATAAAAAAAACAAAACCTTTGTAAAAAGGTTTTGTCTAACGCCAAAGCCTGCTATTTTCAGATAATGAAATCTGGCATTTCATCACAAAAATTAGGTTCTCGTGACTTCAGGAGAATCTTTAATAGTCTGTAATTCCACCTCTTTTGTACGGGTCAGACTTTGTCATCTCACCTAAAGACAAAGCTGAATTGTATGCCAAGAACTTTTCATCAATATCATCTCTTGATTCCACTAGTTGCGTTCTACCTGATATAGCAGTCAAACAGGTTGATCCACTGCTTGACATCCATATCACTCCAGCTTCTGTATCTAAAGTGATTTCCTGCTTAGACTCTTCTACAACTTGCGGCCCGGACAACATACCTGTTATAGTCTTGCAGAAGTGTTCTCCGGAGCTGTCAAAAAAACTGACATGCTGAAAAGGCTGGCTGTTGCAATTTATGCAACAGCCAGCCTTTTCAGCATGTCAGAAAATACATTTTGGATTAACTTCTTTAAAAAGATTCGACCTGGTTGGTCACCTCCCAAACGTTATGCTCTGAGTCATGATCCTTTAGACAGTATATGACCAAGTAAATAAATTCAAACAAGAACTGATATCCCAGGCAGAAATATTTGTCCTCATGATAGATGGTTGGTCTTGTATAAATAATGATTCACACATACAGATTATGTTAGCAACTCTAACTCAAATATACATAAAAAGTATTCATCCAAAAGAAAACTCCTACACCGGAAAATACCTATTTGATCAAATGGTTGAGATTGTTGAAGATGAAAATGCTATACTGAACAAGAGAAAAATAAAACCTTTTTGCACTGAAATGCATCGGCCATGGTGACTGTTTGGAAGTTGATAGAAAATAAATATGATTGGATGTCAGCATATGGCTGTTTTTCTCACGGTCTAAATTTATTAGCTTGTGATCTAGTAAAGAAGAACAACACAATTTCCGAAACACTAAAGCAAAATAAACAAGTAGTTAAGTTTTTCAAAAACAAATATGTTTTAAAGAGTATCCTTGAGCGCTGTAGTCTACATTCTCTGAAAAAAAATGTGACTTTAATTCTTCCTGTTGTAACTAGATGGTCATCTCAGTTATCAATGTTACAGCCCAATTTGCGCCTTTGTGACTCATTGCGATTGGCAGTAACTGATGAGAAAGCCCAAGAACATATTGAAAAACACAATAAAAAAAAAGGAATTAACCTTAAAGAATTAGTGTTAAATGTTATTTTAGAAAAAGACCTGTTTCAGAGATTTTGGAATCAGAGTTTGATACAGCATCTGTGTTTATTATCTGATACAGCATTTGTGTCTATTGTAGCATAAGTCTATTCATATGTGACAGCTGAAATATCTGATGTGTTACAAAACACAACACTGCTGACTTTATAAGGAAAAGAGAGTATTACTACTTGTGTTAAAAAGCGTGAAGACTTTGTCATTAAACTAATACACTTTGCAGAAAATTTGCTTGATCCAAGATTTCCTGGTAAAGAGTTAAATCATTCAGAAATGGTTTTAGCTGAGCAGCATTTAGAATAGCTGAAAATGAAACACTAGCTGCTGATGTTATATTGGATGAACTAATGAATTTTAAAGCTCGTAGTGGAATATTTAGCCAGGATAGTCGCAGCTATATTTGGAAGCTTAGTGTAGAGTGTAATCCAGTTGTATGATGGAAAGCATATGCATCTACAACATTGTTGAGCAGAGTGGTGTTGATATTATTATCTTGTAGCAGCAGCATTGCATCTGCTGAGCATGCAAACAAACAATTTTTAGTGCAAAAATCTAAAAAAGTGAAATCGTTTAACTGATACAAGAGCATCAAAGCTGTTATTTTTTGCTTATAGTTTGAAAATACAAAATAGATTGGTTAAATGTAATTCTAAAAAGAAAAAACATTTATGTTTAGAAAAAAAAAAAGATTGATGATAAAAACAATGCAATTCATAGCTTCCTATCGCTTAATGATAATGATGATGAATATGACAGTGAATATTTAAGTGATGACAGTGTTGATTTTCATATACCTTCAAGAAAGATTAAGCATTAACATTTAACAAGACCTTTTTAACAAGTATTTTATTATATTGTGATAGAAAATCTGTAGCATAATTTAAAAAAGATTTCAATAGTTCATTTAATAAATTCAATTTATTAAATTGCAAGAAATTTTTTTTTTAGTTATTTGAAAAATAAAAAAAATAATAAAAAACAAAAATCATCCCAAAAATTTGCTTGTGTTTTTCCATTCCTATATATTTTTACAGGAAATATACTAAAATTATAACTTTAAAAAGGACAAGTATAATTTTTTTTACTTTACAAGTATAATTATTTCCAATTTTGTTTATTATCTAAAATTAGATTAGTATATTAAAAATTAAAAAAATTGAAAATTTCCAAAAAATTTCCGGAAATTTTCAACACTATCCTTTACACAAGCTATCAACATTTATTGTTCCTTCTTAAAATATTTGTCTCTAGTCAATGCAGAAAATCGCAATTTTGTTTATTCAGAGATGTGTAGTATAAAAGACAAAATTATTTCATTTCATCTTTAACACTTCAAGTGATACACAAGAACTCAGGCAGTGCAGATATGGACAACTTTAGTGAATTTAGTCATTCAGATCAACTGCCTCCTTCTAAAATAGTAAAGCTGACCCTGAGATGTATGATTTGCTGACAGACACAAGACATGAATTTGAAAAATACTTGGCACTGCCTGTGACAGGGTGTGATGCATTGCAATTCTGGAAAGGCAGAGACTGTGAACATAAGCTTTTGACAATGGCATGGTTTTCTAGAAAGTTGTTGGCTATTCCTGCTACAAGTACCAGTGAAAGTTTTCAGTATGTGCGACAATGATTAGTGATCACAGGGCTCGCCTCTCACAAACATTAAAAATGCTGATATTTCTCAAAAATAACATGCAGCCCTGATTACTAGATTGACAGTAGGCTACTTAAGCTACTGTTATCTGTGTTCAAAAAAGTTACTGCTTTAATGTTTTGTACACTTTTAACTGCAGCGTTTCGTTTCTCAAACTTTTGAAAATGCAGTAGTTAAAGCATTGCAAGTTTCAAATAGTTTTATTTTAACAACCAAATATTAGGTTAATTTATTTGTGTTTTATCACTGCAATTGTAACTAATAAAAAAACAATAGGGTTGGTATCTGAACTGCGCTTAAGACGGAACCAAACTAAACTCGAACATTAGATATAACTGAACCAGACCCGAACTTTAAAAAAAGGGTTAAATTCCCATCTTTAGTTATAAGTCATGTTTTTGCATGTCAAATGCAAGATGGATGGGGGAGGTAATTTTTTTTTAAATCTTTTTTCTAAATAATAGCTAACAATTTTAATGACAAAAAAAAAGTCAAAATTAGAAAAAAAAAATGTTTTCAATAAATTAATTCTAAAGTGGCTTGTGGTAACATGTGCATTTTTAACTGCATTTTTAAAATTTAATTTTTAAAATTTAATTTTTAAAACTGCAATTTTTATCAGAAAATTTTAATCAGATTTATTATGCTTATGTAATTTTTATATTATGACAAATTGACAAACCAATATTTATGAGATTTTTTTAATAGATTGTTGATTTTTAAAGCCTTATTACACTAAAAGTTTCTTTTAAAATTCTATATTTATATATTTATATATATATATAAGTAAATCTGTTTTTCATTTTATTATTTTGGTAAAAATTCTTTATTAGAATTTTGATTACTTCTAATTAAAATAACTTTTTTCACCTGCTGATTAAATATTTAGGAAAAAGAGGGGGGGGGATGTATTAATTAAAGTGTTAAAATATAAAAAAAAAACATTAATGTTAAAAAAACTCTGCGAGAAATGTCCATATTTTTAAACCAATTATTTTCTAATGTTTACTAAAAGTTACTGAATTGAAGAATAAATATAAAGTATAAATATAGAAATGATATTCTTAACATGACCTGTTTTACGGGTCCAAACAGCTTGTTATTATAAAAAGTTTTTTATGAAAGTTTTTTGAATGTACTTTTTAATAAAAAAAAGTTTATTTACTAACTTTACTATTGCAGCTTTAAAATAATGATTTTAGATTTTAAAATAATGATTGTAGATTTTAAAATAATGATTGTAGGTTTTAAAATAATGATTGTAGATTTTAGCATTGTAAATTAACAGACACATCAATAATTTAACTAGGATAATTTAAAATATTTTCTAAAATGGATATTTCAGTAAATAATTTTTATTTTTGAATAACGGTTTGAATATTATTGAATATAATTGTTTTTAACAAATATTAAAGTAAGATGTTATGCATTTCAATAACCATCAGTTAAATAAAAATAAAAAATAAGATAAATATTGTTATATAAGAAAAGACTTCACAAAATCTATTTTATGGGTCCTCACTAATGAGTCCTTATTTATAGATATTTACTTATTGTTACTAGGTACTTATTGTTACTAGGTAGTGTTAGTTACTGCTTTTTATGAAATTACAAATTTATTAAAACAAAAAATAATATAAATTACTTTTTTTATTAATAGTTATTTAAATAAATTAATAATTAATTTGTAAACCATAATAATGTTATTCATAAAATTTAAGAATTTGTGAACAAAGTTACTATTTTTTCTCTTACTTGGACACTCTTTAATATTGCAAACTTTTTTTTCTTCAAGGCTTCCTTTACAGTCTTCTCCTCCGTGTGCAGGTGAAGGCTTGTTACAAGAACGTTTTCGAATTTGCTCCCCATTTCCACAACTGTTTGAACATGCACTGAAGTCACTCCACTCTGAGAAACCACCATTTACTGAAAGATTTTTATTTGAAATAGTATTTAAAATATTTAAAACATTGAAAAAATGAAACAACTAAATTTTTAAAACATAGAAGAAATGAGGAAAATAATGTTTGATTTATATTAATAGATTAATAAATTATTTATAATTCAACTTATGAAAAAGCTTCAAAGTATTGAAGAAATGAATGATGATAAAAAATGTTATGTAAAAAACTAAAAACAACATTTTTTTTTTTTAATGTTCCTCTAACAAACAATCGTTAACCTGGACATTCGTGAGTTTTACAGGATGCAGTTTCATATCTTATTCCATTGCAATCTTCTCCTCCATAAGCTGGTACAGGATTTGAACAGCTTCTTGTACGCTGCTTAATACCTAGCCCACAACTAGCTGAACATTCACTAAATTCTGACCATTTTGTAAAACCACCATTAACTTTAAAATAGAATATACTTATTTAAAAAAATTAATTTTCTGTGAATACCACAAACTAAAAATATTTTGGGTTTTCATTAAAAAATTTTTAACTATTTGAAAAAAGGATTAGAAAAATAAATGAACAGTTTTACAATTAAAATGACATTTTGATTTGAAGATGGTATTGATCAATAAATTCTTAATTTATCACCTGGGCATTCTTTAATTTTGCAAAGAAGAATTTTTGAAAGAAGCTGATCTTTACAATTTTCACCACCAAATGCAGGAGCTGGATTTGTACAAGTTCTTATCTGTAACTGAGTTCCTTCTCCACATTCTTTTGAGCAATTTCCGAAATTAAACCATTCTGATAATCCTCCATTTACTAATTATTTAAATTAAGAACCATCGTCACATTTATTATCATCATCATCTTCACAAAAAAAAGTCAATAAATAATCAAACCTGGACACTCCTTTAAATTACAAGATTCTGTTTGCGATTCAGCTCCTACACAAGGTGCCCCATTAAAAGCAGGAGCAGGATTTGTACAAGTTCGATAGCGTATTCTTTGACCACCACCACAAGTCAAAGAACATTCAGAAAATGAAGACCATTGACTGAAACCACCATTTACTTAAAATATAAAAAATTAGCAGTATTTAATTAACTCAAAAACTTCTTCTAAATTTCTATTATATCCTTTTTGTCTGGACTTCCTGCATTATTCCTTTAGGAGATAAAATAAACATGAATAATATATGATAATATATTATTGTTTATAAGTGAGCAAAAAAAAATATTAACATTTTTTTTCATTTTAGAAAAAAAAGACTATGAAAAAAAAAAAAAAAAAAGGAAAAAGAAAACAAAAGACTCAGAAAAACTTACTACCGGCTGGTAGTAAGGTTTCCAGAACTCTGTAGTAGCTCTCAGAGAGGCTGATTCCATCAACAGCTGCAAAATATCAGAGTATTACCAGTGCATATTGTGCATGGATGGTTTCCCTGTTAATGCTTTTGGTGCACACTGTTGAGGCCCTATAAAGAGCCCTATGTTCCAACTTGTATGAGTCAAGTTCTTTTTATCCAACAACAATTACAACACCACCTAAATGTTTTAATATATCTTTTACAAATATTTGTGGTTTGCAAAACAACCATCCATGAGTTGAATCTAACCTTTCAAAAAATTCACTAGACTTGCTTTCTCTTAGTGAGACTAATTTAAATTCCACTATTCCTTCTTCAGATCTCAGTGCTAATGGGTATTATCCTTTGATTTGCAAAGACTCCAATAGTCAAATGCTTGGCTTGGGGGTATACATACACATAAATTTGCCTATTTGTTGTGAAATCAGGTTTGAATACTTTGATCATTCTTTTATGTGCCTTGCTTAGCACCTTTTCATTCTATCACCTTTCTCTTTGTTCTTTACCATTCTCCTTCTTCCCAAGACTGCACTCTTTTAGATGTAATTTCTGATCAAATTGACGATGCCCTTTCTCTTTACTCATCTGACAAAATTGTTGTTATAGGTGACTTTATTGCTCATCACACTGAATCGCTTGACTCTAATACCACTGACCCTGCTGGCACTAAAGCTTGTAACTTAAGCATTTCATTTTCTTTTTCTGACAACCTAATCATTTACCTTCACTCCTTGATTTATGTCTAGTCTCTAATCTTAGCTTGTATTCAGTTTCTCCTTTTTTCTCCCTTAGGTGGTTCCGACCATACAATGATCTCTTTAAGTCTTCCATCTCATATCATCACACTACTCACCCTATCATCACACTACTAGCATGAAGCTGACTGGGATTCTTTTATTTAATTTTCTTTGTGATAGTCCTTGAATTTATTTTCTGTCTCAGTAGATAAATGCACCTCCTATATAGCCTTCTGGATTCAGCCAGAAATGAAGGCTTTATTGCTATCTGCAATTCCAGATTAACCCTTTTTCTACCCCATGTTTTTCACCTTCTTGTGCAGCTGTTATATCTAACAGCAATCATTTTTTTCATCTTTTTTATCTTTTTTCTCTCTTGAGAACAAACAGCTATTTATTATTGCAAGAAAAATGTAAAAATGTGCTGTCTGATGCTAAGCTCTATTTTTCATCTTATCTCATATTTTAGGTTTTAGAGACTTTTGGAAAATCTTCAATAATGTCATTAACAAGGGTAAGTCTAACATTCCATTTCCCATTCATGATACTGATCTTATTATTTCTCCTAAGAATAAAGCAGAAATAATTGCAAAAAACTTTTATTGTAATTCTAAATTCAATTCTTGAATCTTATCACCATTCTCTTCCTTCTATTCCAATTAAACAGGTTAACCCATTGTTAGACATTTAAATCACTCTAGCTTGTTGCTAAAGTCATATCTCAATTAAATTTTTCTATGGCTAAAGATCCAGACAACACTCCTGTCATAGTCTTACAAAATTGTTTGCCAGAATTCTCTTTATTTCTCTATAAACTATTTAATAAGTACTTTACTGAGTCTTTTTTTCTTTCTAGCTTGAAAATAACTTTGGTGAACATTCTGACCCCTCCAATTATCATCCATTTAGTCTTCTTTCTGTTATTAACACGGTCTTTGAGTCTTTGATCAACAAGTTTCCCACACCCCATTTTATATCAAATAACTTTTCAGACAATCAATATGGTTTTCGATCCTCTCGCTCTACGGCTGACTTGCTAACTGCTGTGACTAACTGCTTTAGTTAAGTCATCTTTTAAGGCTAACACTCTTCTTTATTTCCATTAACTTCAAGATTCCTCAAAGGTACCTTAAGGTTCTATCCTTGGTAATTTTTTATTTCTTATCTACATTAATAATCTTCATGACAACATGACATCTAAAGTAGCTCTTTTTGATGATGACTCAACTTTATACTCCTGTCTTGAAAAAAAGTCTTCTCTTGTTAATCGCTTAGAACAGGCAGCCGATCTTGAATCTGATCTCACTTCTTTAACAGATTAGGATTTGCCATGGCTTGTAAATTTTAACTTCAACAAAATATTTTACTGCAAACAACTATCAAAATACTGTCAACATTCCTATAATAATGAATAGCAACCCTCTCACGGAGTCCTTTTCTTTATGCCTTCTTGGGGTATTGTTCATTACTGACCTTTCATTGAAACCATATATACAATTGATTACTAAATTCCTCTAAGGTTGCTTTTCTTTATTGTAAATTTAATTATTCCTGATTTCATTTTCTACCTCTACAAATATTATATTTCTGCCTGTATGGAATACTGTTGTCATATTATAAACTAAATAAATAATGATAATGTACTCGAGTAGCAAATAATACTTGCACAATATTGTTTACAACTAAATAAACTATATAACTAAAACTATATATATATATATATATATATATATATATATATATATATATATATATATATATATATATATATATATATATATATATATATATATATATATATATATATATATATATATATATATACAACCCTTGGAAATAGGGTCAGCATTCGGCTGAATCACCTAACTGCCAACCTAGATGTGTTTGAGGTTGACAAAAAATTGCTGACTTTGTTTCTATGTTTTATGGTCAAACCTTTGTTTTACATTTTCATGATGTGGACCTCACACAGATCAAAGCTGGCAAATTATTGCCAACCTTATTGTTCCTGATTTCGAGGGCTGTATATATAATATTTTAGTATAAAAGACCCTTTTATACTAAAACAATAAAAAATACAAGTTTTTAATTCTAATTTATTTTATATTATACAATAAATGAACTCTATTATGTTATTATAAAAGAATCTAAATTAAAAAAAGATAAATTTTTATAAAATTTACTTGGGCACTCCTTTATTAAACAAAACTTTGTTTGAAACGTAGCTCCTTCACAGTCTTTTCCTCCATTTGCTGGTGGGGGATTAGAGCAAGTTCTTGTTCTATTCTGGCTTCCTTGGCCACACTCTGCTGAACATTCAGCATAAGATGACCAATCAGTGAAACCACCATTTACTATATTTTAAACATTAATTATTATTATTCAAAATTAAATATATTTTGAAATTATTTGAAATGACAAAATTTTAACAAAAAACCTACTCAAAAAAAACTCATGTAAAAATAATAACAAAAAGACTCAATACATATTTTAGTAAATTAATTACAGAACTAATTAATTTTTAAAAAACAAATAAATAATAAAATGTAGATCAAATGATATAATTTAAGTATCAAATTATATATTTAAAAAATTAAATATAGTTAAATGTAAAAAGTAAATAAAAAAGGATTTTTCAAGAAATACTTATTAAAATACTTATTAAGAAAGCCACTTTTTATGAATCACTTAAAAATGCATAACCATGTGCATAGTAAAAACAAATGTTATAAAATTATTATAAAAAATAAATAGTGCAATCCTTAGATTATTAAAATAATACTTAATTTTAAAAATTACGTTCAATTTTAAAAATACTTTAAACTTATAGGTTACATTATCAATTTATTAAAAAAAGTTTCTCACAAAAATATAATAAAGAAAAAATGGATTTGCATACTTTTAGAATATAATACATTCTTAAAATGTTATACTTTAAAAAAAAAAATTCTTACTAGGACAAAGTTGGCTATTACATTCTGATGTTTCTTTAAGAGAACCAACACAATCAGCACCATCATATTGAGGGACTGGATTTGTGCAATTTCTAGTTCTGTATTTAGTGCCAGATCCACATGATTTTGTACAATCACTAAATGCACTCCAACCAGATAAACCACCATTTACTATTGATAAAAATTATTATTTTGCTAACTTAAAAAGAAGAAACTAAAATTCATAAATAAAATTGTTGAATACGTACCAGGGCATTCTTTAACCTTACAAGGCAACACTTCATTAAGTAGACCTTCACAATCTCTACCACCAAAAGCAGGTATAGGGCTAGTACACAGACGAGATCTTTTCTTTTCACCTTCACCGCATGTTTTTGAGCATTCTGTATAGCTTGACCATTGTGTGAGGCCACCATCAACTAAATTGTTAAATATAGTAAATATAAAGATCGCAAATATATTTAGTTTCAGTAAAACTCTAAACTTAGTAATTGACATTAGGATGAATGGTTTAACTATTTTGACCTACCCATTTTAGTCATAATTTTCAATAAAAATTTTATAACAAGTATTTATATTATGTGTTCACATAAACACTAATGTTTTAGATGTTAACTATTGTTTTAAGATTTAAAATAAAATTTACAGACAAATAACACAGAGAATTAACTCTAGTAACATTTGCACTTTTTACTGTAAAAAACCCAGAAACAACTTGATTTTTTTTTTTTTTTTAATATTTTACCATCTTTTTATCCTTATGTTCAAAACAAATATTTAAGTTTGTCACAAAAAACCTTGTTGCTTAAAAACATCAAATCTCAACAAGTTTGTCACAAACAACTTTGTTGCTTAACAGTGTGATATTGTTTTTGTGTAAAAGATTTTTGAACTTAATTTTGATACACTCAAATCTACATCTTTCAAAATATTTGTTCAGTTTATACAAAATGTAATTTTGTTTTCATCATTCACATTCTTACTGGTGCTTTGACACTTTAATTCAATATTTAATTCTTTATGCCTCCACCCCCCCCCCCCTAATTGTAAACATCCCCCTAAAGACCTTTAGACGCTGTTACTTTAAACTTATTTTTACTTTTACTATCTTTTTACTTTTATTTTTAATTTTTACTTACCCATCTTTAAACCTTAAGCATTTTTTTTTAAGGTCTTTTTAATATTCATATTTTTTTGGTTTTTTAATTAGACAAATATTTTTTTCATATCATTGTACTTTAGTTGTTTAATTTTTCAACTATTTTTTGTGTTGCTTAGTTACTTTGTTGCTTAGTTACTTTAGTGGTTTAGTGATTCATTTGTAGTTATTATTTATTGTTCTTAATCAATATTTTACCAGTGGTAATTAAGTTACATTTCACTGTTGCATTTTGTTATCATCATTTTGTTATCATTTTTATATTGCATTTACAACTCCCCTCTTCATATCATTTCAAAAAAAAGGTGCTTTACAAATTTAGGTATTTCTTTTTTGTTATTTGTAGTAAATTCCTATATACTTCAGTATAGAACAAGCCTAAAGTGATATAAAACATTAATGACAATGATGTTTATCTGACGAGATCAACTAATTATTTGTACTGAGCCTCTTTGGAATGCCAATAATAGTAGATGCAATTCAGAAAAAAAGTTCCTACATTAATTACATTTATACAAAATCAAGAATGATTTTTTTCTTTTTTTATACTCATTTATATAATTTTATGTTTTTGTATGGCAAGTAATACTTATTTGATATTTTTATTTATCAGTATTTAAAGAAGATTTATGTGTATTCTATATTTTCATTATATGATTTGTTTGTTTTTAATATATATTTTTTTAAATAGATATGATTAATACTGCTCTTGTTTTTGTCTGGAAAACTGCAAAATATGCTTAAAAACTAATTCAGCATAGTTCCAATTGATTACATGAACATTCACTGCTCATATAACTATTTGGCAAATTTATGTAAATGCACACACATATATATATACACTTACATACAATACATATGATATACCAGACATTATAAAATAAAATATAATAACTTACTAGGACATTCTCGAACTTTACATTTTACTTCTTCAACAAAATCACCAACACAATTTAGACCACCATGTTCAGGTTTTGGATTCTCACATTTTCGACTTCTAGATTTTCTTCCCTCTCCACAAGGTTCAGAACATGCTCCAAAATCAGACCATTCCGTAAAACCTCCATTAACTAAATATTTTATTCATACTTTTAAAAAACAAAAAAGTTCAAACTGAGTGTATAGATTAACTTAAAAAAGAAAATAAAAGAAGTAAGAAAAAAAATTTTTAAATCAAAATAACAACTATCCCTTACTGGGGCAAGGGTTTATGTTACAATATGAATTCTCTTTAGTTTCACCAATACAGTTTTGACCACCGAAGCTTGGTATAGGATTTGAACATGTACGTGTTCTTGTTTTTAAACCATCCCCACAACTTGAACTGCATTCACCATATGCTGACCACTGAGTAAAACCACCATCAACTATAACACATGCACATATAAATACATGTTTTTTAAAAAACAACTTTTTTATAACTAAACTACGATAATTTTAGAAATTTTTACTTTCTCTAAAAAATTACGATGATTTTATAACTTTTTATTTTCTCTGCATTTCTCAAAATGTTTTTTCAGATTTTGACTGTTTATTTTAGATTTTAAAAGGCTTTTATTTCAGATGTTTTATGTTATATTTTTATTTCAGATGTTTTATGTTATATTTTTATTTCAGATGTTTTATGTTATATTTTCATTTCAGATGTTTTATGTTATATTTTTATTTCAGATGTTTTATGTTATATTTTCATTTCAGATGTTTTATGTTATATTTTTATTTCAGATGTTTTATGTTATATTTTCATTTCAGATGTTTTATGTTATATTTTTATTTCAGATGTTTTATGTTATATTTTCATTTCAGATGTTTTATGTTATATTTTCATTTCAGATGTTTTATGTTATATTTTCATTTCAGTTGTTATTTCAGATTTTTTTTACTCTAAAAAACAATTAAAAGAAATTCTTAATTCTGATCCATTCAAAATTATTTATATTTCGTTCAAAAAACATTTTAATTATGTTTTCAGCAGTAAAAATTAAAACTTGTTTTTCTTATTTTCAGTGATATTTTAAGTGTAACATTTATTTTCAGGGAAAATTCTAGAAAAAAAAAAAAGTTCTATAGAAATTCCTATAGAAATTAACAGTGATTTTATAGAAATTCTAAATAATTTTATAGAACTTTTGTAGGCAAAAGTTTATAGAAGTTCTATAGAACTTTTTATCTTGGAAAATTTACTAATTTTCAGGGGTAATTTACTTATTTTAAAGAGTTATTTACTTACTTTTGGGGTTACTAAAGGGGTAATTTACTTATTTTTTGAGACCATCAATAAAACTAATAAAATATAAAAAAATTAAAACCATTTCAAGCATAAATCATTTAAGCATTTTTAAAAATTGTTGTTTTTGTATAAATATGTATGTATATTTTATAAACCACCCTAATGTAATAATCCTTAGGGTCACAGTGGCGTCAAATATATATAAAAAAATTCATCAAAAAAAAGTTAAATAATGTTAATAAAAAATCTACTAAATACCAGGACAATTTGTCAAAAAACAACTAAGAGTGATTTGACTTTCTCCAACACAATCTTTTCCACCAAATAATGGTTTGGGGTCAGTGCAACTACGTGTTTTAACTTTAAGACCAGAACCACATGTTGTAGAACACTCACTAGGCTCACTCCATTTGGTCCAACCTCCATCCACTAATGAAATTATTTTTTGTGTTACAATTAAATTTTAATTGTTAATAAATTTAAGATTTGTCAAAATATAAATTAACAGATAAAGATATAAATCTAAAATTAAAAAAATGAAAACTTATGTTTTAGAAAACATCAATTACCAGGGCATTCAATAAGCTGACATTCTTTACTTTCAACTGTAATTCCCTCACAAGGATTACCACCATACATAGGAGTTGGATTGTTGCATAACTTAGTACGAGTTTGAGTTCCTTTCCCACAGGATGATGAACATGGGGAAAATGTTGACCAAGCTGATAAACCACCATGAACTGAAATAAAAATTTCTTTTTTTAATTTCTTTTTGAAACTGAAAACTTTTTGTATATTAACCTAATTTAAATTTTTAAATAAATTTCATTTACTTTTCTTTTAAAAATAGTTCTTTAAAAGAACAAATTAATTTAATATATATATATATATATATATATATATATATATATATATATATATATATATAACAATTTTGTTTACCTGGGCAACTTTTCAAAACACACTCTATGGTTTCAGTTGAATCGCCTATGCAAGGAGTTCCATTAAATTGTGGACTAGGATTTGTACATGTACGCGTTTTTGTTTTAATGCCACGCCCACATGTTACTGAACAATCAGAAAAATCAGAAAAACTGCTCCAACCACCATTAACTGTAAAATATTAAAACCAATAAAAAGTAAAATAAAATTTTTAACTTCTTTGTTTATTTAAAAATTTTAATACAAAAATTATATCTTTTTATTTCTTAAACTTTACTTAATGTTTAACTTGCAACCCTTGGAATTAGGGTCAGCATTCTGCAATGCTAACTAATTGCTGACCTAAAAGTATTTGAGGTCGGCAAAAAGTTGCTGACCTCGTTTCTATGTTTTATGGTAACGCCTTTGTGTTAAGTTTTTTTTGCCGACCTAATGTCGACCTTTCATAGTTTGAGGTCAGCGATTTATTGCCAATTCCTAATTCCGAGGGTTGAACTTGATATTTAATAATTCATAACTGTTTATATGATTTATGCTAATTATATGATTTATGCTAATGTTTATATGATTTATGCTAATTATAACATTTATAAAAACAATATTTAATACTATTTATAAATTCGCTACATTTAAATATTTATCAATATAAACTTTTAATAGTTTTAAAGCAATTAAATATTTTGGATCAATCCATTCAATTTATTCAACTGTTATGTTTAATCCATTCAAGCTAAATATCAATAAATTTTTTTTAAACTTGATAAATAGCAAATAATCTTTTATTTACTATTTATCAAAGTTTTATTAACAATTTTTTTTAACTAATAATAATAAGTTTGATAAATAATTATTACAAATAATTTCCTATTTAATAATTTATTAATAAAACTATTACAATAAATTGAATTAAATAATTTGCTATTTATCAAAGTTAATAAAACTTATTATTATTAGTTAAAAAAAAATTCTTAATAAAACTTTGATAAATAGCAAATAAAAGATTATTTGCTATTTATCAAGTAAAAAAAAAATTATTAATATTTGGCTGCAACTAACCAGTTTAATTTTTCAACTATTATTAAGTTTCCATTATTTGGATCAACCAATTGGATTTGATGAACCCGTTGAATTCATTTAATTTATCAATTTGTTAAATTTGGAAAATTTTGTAACTATGGAAACCAAATTGTTCAGTGCAAATTATAGCATTCAACTTTTATGTTATTTCATTCAGTAGTTTTTATTGTGGATATTAATTATTATTTTATATATTATAATAAAATTTATTATAAAATATTATAACATAATTAAATATTATACATTATTATATATAATAATTTATTTAACAATATATATATATTTTATATATAATATGTAATATTTGTAGTAGGATGTCAAAGGAAAAATGAAAATTTTATGATTTTTTCAAATAAAATTTTTTATTAAATTTTGAAATTAAATTTTAAATACTCACTTGGACATTCAGGTTGTTTACAAATCTGAAATTCTTCAGACTTTCCTAAAACACTACAGTCTTTTCCTCCATGCTCAGGGTAAGGGTTAGTGCATTGTCTAGTTTTAGATTGGGTTCCAACACCGCAACTTACAGAGCAGAAAGAAAAAGTTGACCACTCAGTATATCCACCATCAACTAAAATTAAATAAAAAATGTTTTAGTTTACAATACTTTAACAAGATATTTTAAAAATTAAAAAAAAAAAAGAAACTATTCACCAGGGCATTCTATTTGTTTGCAAATCTTAGATTCCAAAGAATCTCCAAAGCATTGTTTACCACCATATTGTGGTTCAGGGTTATTGCACTTTCGAGTCCGGTAACTAGTTCCTGAGCCACAACTCACAGAACAACTAGAGTACGAAGTCCATTCAGAAAATTTTCCATCAACTAATCAAATCAATAGCTTATTAAATCATTATCATGAAAATTGAAATTCATAAAAAAACTTTAAGTTATTTTATTAAACAGTAACATTTATATTAAAATATATATTACATCATTCATAACAAAATGCAACAAATGTTAAAAGTTTGTTTCTTTCTGTGCTGCCTATAATACTTAAATAAAAATATTTGTTATATATTTCTATGCTGTCTAAAATACTTTTATAATTCTATTATTAAACTTACTTGGACAATCTGCAGTTTTGCATTTGATAATATCTACATTAGGTCCTAATGAAGAACAGTCCTTTCCATTATTTAAAGGAGTTGGATTAGAACAATTACGGTATCTAGATTGAATTCCATCACCACAAGATGCTGTGCATGTATCAAAATTCGACCATTCTGTGTAACCCCCATCAACTTAAAAAAAAAATGCTTTAAAATAATTTTTTCAATTCTATAATAAATATGAACTATACATATATATATATATATACATATATATATATATATATATATATATATATATATATATATATATATATATATATATATATATATATATATATATATAAGTATATATTCATATGTATATATATGTATATATATATATATATATAATATATATATATATATATATATATATATATATATATATATATATATATATATATATGTATATATATATACATAACTATTTATACATATATATATATATATATATATATATATATATATATATATACATAATATATATATATATATATATATATATATATGTATATATATATATATACATATATATATATATATATATATATATATATATATATATATATATAATATATAAGTATATATTCATATGTATATATATATATATATATATATATATATATATATATATATATATATATATATATATATATATATATATATATGTATATATATATATATATATACATAACTATTTATACATATATATATATATATATATATATATATATATATATACATAATATATATACATATATATATATATACATATGTGTATATATATATATATATTATATATATATATATATATATATATATGTATAAATAGTTATGTATATATATATATATATATATATATATATATATATATATATATATATATATATATATATATATATATATATATATATATATATATATATATATATACATTCTTATTATATTTTATCTTAGTCCTTTTATTTTATTTTTCTTATATTTTTTTAATTATACATAAATAAACAAACTCTTTTAAAAAAATCTTTTTTTTGATTTTAAAATTATAAACTTACCAGGACATGGAGAGAGAACACAAGGTCTGTCATCCTCATGATCCCCTATGCAAACATCTCCACCTAGTTGAGGACTTGGGTTATTGCATTCCCGAGACCTGCTCTGAACTCCATTACCACAAGAGACACTGCAAGATTTAAAATCACTCCATGCACCCCATTGACCATTTACTAAATAATAAAAACTTATGTAATAAAAGTTAAAACAATAATACAAAAATGGCATAATTATTAGTCAGGCACCAGACTTTCCAAACTCCCTAGAGATGATATATGCTCCTGACAACAATATCATCTTGAAACTACAAGGATAATTGGATAACAAAACACGTTTACTTAATCATCTACCACTCAATATAATCATGCCTATTAATCTATGATTTATACTCTTGGTTGTAGATCTATGCTTTAGTAGCTATTTCACTACTCCAACATCTATTTTACACTAAAAACAATGAGTGAAATAGCTATTGTAATATATATATATATATATATATATATATATATATATATATATATATATATATATATATATATATATATGTATATATACTTACTAAAACGTATTTTTATAAGCATTTGCTCACTTTTTTTGCTTACCTTAACCCATACGGCTTTTTTAGAAAAAGATGAAAAAAACGAAGAATGATGAATGAAACAATTGCTGCCCCATCCCAAACCCTCAGTTGATGTAGCAGCACTCCACTGCGAGTCAGGCTATTTGTCAGTCAATATATGTACTGAAGCCCTCAGCAGCAGGCTATTTCAGTATGACGTCAGAATGCTTACCTTAGTACGCAATACTATTTGCATATATATATACATAATACTTGCTGCATTTTATTCATCTGTATCATTTATAATGCTTATTCATCATGCAAATAACACAGGCCACACAAACTATTTAAAATATGAATCAGTTCACTACACATTTTATCGCTTTCATATCTCAACAGATATAAAAATGACAATCAATCTAATCAGATTATAATCTCTAAAATTATTGTTCAACATAACTGGTACCTGACCTTTCTGTTAACACTATAATTATGATACATATTTTCAGCCAAATAAACTCACTTGGACATTCTTTTAGCTTGCATGCAACTGTTTCAAAGACTTCACCAACACATTGTTTACCACCATATTGTGGAAGCGGATCAATGCATTCTCTTGTTCTTTTCATTAAACCACTGCCACAAGATTTTGAGCAATCATCAAATCCAGACCACTGTGACCAACCGCCATTAACTAAAAATTTTAAATTTAAAATAACAACTACAATAGCTAAATATTAACCAGTAAATAAAATAGTTTAAATATATTTTTGAAGAATTAAATAATGGGCTAACAATAAAAACTTTAGCTAAACCACTTTATATGTCCACCTAATCTGAATAGAATTCTCTAAGGATCACATGTTGTTTCCTATTAATGTAAAAATCTTTCAGCCAATTTAAAATTTTATTGAAGAAAAATAAACTCAGCTAGATTATAATTAAAATGATACAATTAAAATATTTAGCAAAATCTAGGAGAATTAAAAATGCTGCGCAAACATTTCTAACTATTAACTTTCATTTTAACATATTTAATTGGTTAAGTAATACCTATGATTAATATCCCAAGTGGATTAAACAAAAATTTTGAGAAAAATCATCTAGCAATATTTTAAACATTTAAACATATAATAGAGCTTAAAAGTTCTTTTTTTTATTTTTTGGTTGATTCTTTGGTTTAAACTTTTCTACTGACCTGTAGAAGATTAAAAATGCCTACATAAAAAAGGAACTATTAGTACCAGTGGATTACCTCTGAATTAATAAATTGAATTCTTGACCTTATTAACCCAATTACTTCTTATTGCACAGGTAAAAATTTCAGTACATTTTTTTCTACCATAAAAAATTTGAAATAAGTTATATTTATATTTTTTTTTCTAAAAGACTGAATTGCTTGTGGAAAGTTGCAAACAAGTTCACTGAATTCAATAGATTATTTGTTTTATTAAAAGAGTATTCATTCTTGTAGCTTTTAATATATGTAAATGCATCTAATGAAAACTTTTTCTTAAATTCCAATATTCATCAACTTCCATGAATGGTTGAAATATTGAAACTGAAATATTAAGGCTGAATAGCCATTTCCAATTACTTATTTAGTAGCATCAGTAACATTTAAATTTATCTGAATAAATGCATAAAAACATAAACTAGATCCTATTGATTGATGAGTTTGATAAATGATGAAAGTAAAACTGAAAGTGTTTTCAAATTATCGGATGTTCAAACTAATAGGTATTCAAATTATTAGATGTTCAAATTATTAGATGTTCAAACTATTGAATAAGTCATTAGTCATTAATATTTAATTAAATAATGAAAATAATAAAATCTTATATATTTGCTCATATTATTCTATTCATATAAATAATCTTATACTATTCTTAAATCTTAATTTATTCTCAAATCTTAATTTATTCTCAAGTCTTAAATTATTGTTAAATCTTAAATAATTTTAAAGCAATTATTTTTCATAACTTTTTAACTAGCCCCAGGCACTTAACGAAAATAGCAATTTAATAAATTTGAACATCTATTTTTTTTAGTTATTTATCAAAATTATTTACCTGGACAAAATGTTTCAAAACAAGGTACAGTAACTTCTGCATCACCAACACAGTCTTTACCACCAAATGCAGGTTTGGGGTTGTTACATAAACGCTTTTTTATTTTATGACCTGACCCACATGATGCGGAACACACAGATGGATCATTCCAATCACTCCAGCTACCATCAACTGTAAGAAAAAACTATTTTTTCTTAAACCATTTTCTTGTTAAAAATTTTGATGAATTAAAAATATAAAGATTAACTATATATATAGTATAAAAAAATATAAATATATAAGTAAATATTTTAATATATAAATAAATAATAATATGGTTCTTAAAAAATCTAAAACATATAAAAATCTAAAACATATAAAAATTTATAAAATATTAAAAAATATAGGAAACTGCATGGAAAATAAGTTGAGTATTGTGCTATCTGCAGACATTGGGGGGTTTGATCTTGGTAATTATTGCTTACAAAGTGATCTATTGTTTCAGCACTATGTACTGCTACAGCACTATCACATATATTGTTACAGCACTATTGTATGTATTGCTACAGTATTATTGCATACACTGCTACATTTTTTTAAAAAAAATCTTGCTTATAAATTATATAAATAATTTAGAAAAAATATTGCTTATAAATCAATAATAGTAAAAATTATTTTTAATATTTTTTTTATTTATTCTTACTTGTATTAGAACTATTATTTTTATTATTTTACTATTATTGAATTTTACAGGTGTTTACTTAATATTTGTATTTATTACTATTTGTAAATAACCTTGATGTAACAACTTTATTCAGAATATATTTAACTTGATTGGCTACAGCACTATCACATGTATTGACTAATCACTATTTAATGACTGTATTGATACAACTACTTTATTTCAAAATACGGCGTATTAATGACTTCAGTTATTGAGCTTTGATATATATGTGTATGTGTGTGTGTGTGTGTGTGTGTGTGTGTGTGTGTGTGTGTGTGTGTGTGTGTGTGTGTGTGTGTGTGTAATAATATATATATATATATATATTATTATTATTATTATTATTATTATTATATATATATTATTATATATATATATATTATTACACACACACACACACATATATATATATATATATATATATATATATATATATATATATATATATATATATATATATATATATATATATATATATATATATATATATATATTGTGATTATTAAAATGCTCTGGTGTACAGAACACCGAATTTAACTAGAAAGTTCCCTCTTCCATCTTTACAAATGTTATTTATTGGCCTAGAGCTGGCATCGAACCCTGACCTATTGATTCTGAGCTAGAATTCAAACACCTGCGTTACAGCTGTACAATACATATAGTTATATATTTTATAGTTATAAATATATATATATATATATATATATATATATATATATATATATATATATATATATATATACATATATATATACATATGTATATATATATATATATATATATATATATATATATATATATATATATATATATATATATATATATATATATATATATATATATAGTAGTTATAAAGTTTAAAAAAAAAATAGAACCTGGGCATTCTGTAGCTTGACAAGATTTACTTTCTACTAAATTTCCTTCACAATCACGCCCACCAAATTGAGGAGGTGGTTTTGTACAATAACGGGTTTTTGTAGCAAATCCAATACCACATGTAACAGAACAGTCACTAAATTCTGTCCATTCTGTCAACCCACCATTTACTAAATGAAATCATTTTTTTTTAATTTTATTAAAATTTGAAAATTATTTAAATTTTTATATTCTAATGTAAGTTAATGACTTCATTCAGTTGTCTTAAATGGTTTTTAATGACTACATTTGATTGTCATCAATGTGACAGACATGACTTAATCACTTATCAACCTTGTTAAATGTTTAAATAAAACTTACTTGGACATTCAACAATTTTGCATGACTTGGTTTCTGTTGAAGGACCAAACTTTTCACAATCAAATCCTGTTCCTTCAGGAATTGGGTTCGTACAAGTTCTTTCTCTAGCTGAAATTCCTTCACCACATGTAAATGAACACTGTGAAAATGAAGACCATGGTCCATAACCACCATCAACATCTAGTTATTATATTAGCAAATAACTAATATCATTTGTTTTTTATTAAATTCATTACTTTTTTTAATTAATTAATTTATATTTCCAGATTATAAAATATAGTTTATTATAAATTAACATAATAAATGTTTCTTGCATTTATAGAATAATGATGGTATATCCTTCTGTTACATAGTAAACATTTTGTGTGCAAAATGAATAAAATGTATATAACACATCAAGCATTTTACTGTTAAAGTTATTAGTAGGAGAAGTTATTAGTACTAGATGAAAGTTATTAGAAAGATGAAAAAAAGAAAAATGAAAAAAAGAAAGATGAAAAAAAGAAAGATGAAAATAACTTCGAAAAACTTCAAAAAAAAAATTTGAAATACTTTTAAAAATTTTTTTTTTTCTAAATGCAAAAATTAATATTTTAAATTTACACTAAACTAACATAAAATTGGTTTTCTTTCAAATACTTTTCTTTCCATTCCACTTATACTTTTCTACATACATACTTTTCTCTCCAAAACATTACAATAATTTTACATTTATTGAATCCAAAAATAAATAAAAAATATCATAAAAATTACTTTTTGCTTGGTTCCTATCAGCAACAGTGTATACATATTCAGTATTAGCTTTTCCTGCACACTCTGTCTCTGAAGAGAGACTACATTGTTTATAGTTGATGCTATGACATTCACTTGATTGCATTTTAGGATCCTTTAGTGCATTTTCAATAACCTTGTAGTCTTTCCCACCCCAGCATTCACCCCAAAATCGAATTGAAAAATATTCAAAACCTTTAGCTTTAGCTTTTTCATAGCAACGACAAGCCAAACTAAATGTTTACAAAAAAAAAACATAATACTCAAAGTAATATTTAATGTTCACTTAAAAAATAAAAGTTAACTTTAAAAAGAAAAAAGTCAAATAATAAACATATATCATAAATTTTTAACAAGAAAATAGATTAACAAAAAATCTAAAAAACTATAAGTTAGCAAAAAATCATCAATTGAAGTTTTAGGGGCAGGTATTATTTAGATAAAAGAAAAATTTTTATAGCAAAAAAAATTACAAAAGTATTTATTGTATTTCAACCTATAGATAGTAGTTTAATAAAATAAGTTTAGGTTAAAAAATTTTTTTAAAAATTCAAAAATTTTGATAGCATGTTTTTAAAGAATAATAAGCAGACTGAACTGCCAGCCTAAACTCAATATAGTGTGACTTGTCACTCAACAAAGTTACATCATTTTATTGTAACTGCACTTCAGTGTTGTAAAGTATTTTGAATACTATTATTTTAAATAGCATTTAAAATATTTCAAGGTATTTTTATTTTTTACTTATTCAGTCGAGTAGTTAATATTTGTATTTCTAAATACAATAAAGTATTCTGTATTTTTGATGTCAAAATACAAAAAACTACTAGTAAACAGTAATTAACAGCAACCAAAGTTTTCCTGCAAGAAAAGGTAAACGATTTAATTATCAAATTAAATAACAATAGAAGGGTGCAATGGCCAACTGCTCAAAACTGTTTTCCCATGTCAGCACACAAGCATCCAATGCTGTGGAAAATGTTACTAAATTTTCATTGAGTACGTCAGGAAAGACTAGACGGAATTCTATATATGATGTCAAATATCAACTTTTGGAATCAAGTTTAAAAAAAAAGCTCCCCAAATCATTGATGAACTGAAATTGTGTTGTTTCAAACCAGTGGTGTTTGAGATATTAGAAGAATACAAACAATTTATGAAACCTATTGCTGATGCTCTGGACAAACTTCAAAAGGAGATTATTTGTTATTTAGGATTTCTTATGCCAATCGTTGAACTAGTTTGTAAGAAACTTGTGATGCTTATTTCAAAAGATATACATACAATATGATGTATTTTAAACTTTAGCTGATTTAAAACACTCTCAAAAATTCAAAATATTTAAAATACTTTTATAATAAGTTTAATTTATTAACAGTAATGAGGCTTGGACTATTAAATAGTGTACTAAGTACTATCTTTGCTTTGAGTCAAGTTCTTTAAAAAATTTAAAATGACTAAAGTACCAAAAACTATAAAACACAAAAAACCATTAACATCACGAAGGTCTCTAAACCTATCATTCAATAATTTTGGTGGTCTTTATAGTAACTTTTCTTCAGTTAAGTCTTATCTCTTCCAAAGTTCATTAGACCTACTTGCTATTTGTGAGACTAATTTAGGTTCCCCTGTCTCATCATAAGATCTTAGTGTTGATGGTTATCTTCCTTTGATTCATAAATATTCCAAAAGTCACATGCTTGGCCAGGGCATTTACATTTGTAAGAATTCACCTATTTGTCAGGAAACTAGGTTTGAATCCAGACTATTCTTTTATGTGCTTTCGTTTAGCACCACTTCACACTATCGCCTTTCTCTTTGTTCTATATCACGTTCCTTCATCTCAAGACTGCACTCTTCGATGTTATATCAGCCAATATTGTTGTATTTGGAGACTTTAATGCTCATCACACAGCTTGGCTCTAGTATCAGTGATTCTGCTGGCGTTAACGCCCTTAACTTTTGCCTTTCTAAATCTATAACTCAAATAGTCAACTTTCCGACTTGCTTTCCAGACAATCTGAATCATTTACCTCCTCTACTCAACTTATGTCTTGTTTCTGATTCTAGTCAGTACTTAGTTTCTCCTGAGGTGCTTTTGATCATGGTTTGATATCTCTAAAACTATTATGTCCTTCTTCTTCATCATCTGAATCCCCATATCATCGTACCAATTACAATTACCTTTAAGCTGACTGGGACTCTTTCCGTGATTTTCTTCATGATGGCATTAGTGTAAAATCTTTCGTTTTCCTGCTGACAAATGTGCTTCTTACATAACTTTGTGGATTTAGGCTGGCATGGAATCTTTTATTCTCTCTCGATGATTCCAGGTAATGCCCCACTCTTCTGCATGGTTTTCCTCACATTGTGTTTCTGCAATTTCCAATTGAAACGGTTACTTCCATATCTATCAGCAAAACAATTCTCCAGAAAACAGACATCTGTTGACTATTGCTAGAAACCATTGTAAAAATGTTTTGTTTAAGGCCAAAGCTCGCTATTCTCAGGTCATGAAACCTCATTTTTCATCACAAAAATTAGGCTCTCGTGCTTTTGGAGAATCTTTAACAGTATCAATAATTAGGGCAAATCTGTTATTACATATCTCTTGTATGGTTCAGACTTTGTCACCTCACCTAAAGACAAAGCTGAATTGTTTGCTAAGAACTACCTATCATAAGCAAGGTTTTTGAATCTATAATTAACAAACAATCTTTCATCTTGAATCTAATAACTTACTTTCTGGTTATCAATATGGATTTTGATCTTCTCGTTCTACAGCTGATTTGCTAACAGTAAGAACTGATAGGTTTTATTGTGTATTAGAGGTGGTGAGGTTAAGGCTATTACTCTTGACATTTCTAAAGCTTTTGATAAAGTTTAGCATGGTGGTATTCTCCATAAGCTAATAATTTTTTTACAGTGTATCTGGTGACATCTTTAAGATTATTGAGTTTTTCTTTTACAATTGTAGTATAAAAGTTGTCCTTGATGGACAGCACTCTTCTTCATATCCTGTAACTTCAGGGGTTCCTCAAGGTTCAATTCTGGCCCTATACACTTTTTAATTTACATTAACAATCTTCCAGATATTCTCACATCTAAGGTGGCATTTTTC